TTCTTTCCTTCCTTCCTTCCTTCCTTCCTTCCTTCCTTCCTTCCTTCCTTCCTTCCTTCCTTCCTTCTTTCTCCTTGTTACAAAGAAACCTTGTGATTGCTTTAAAAAAATGAAAGATTCCCACGTAATTCCAATTCATACATAAATTTCTGAGGTTGAAATGGTGTGTCCTGCACTGTAGTTTCATTCAGCTCTTGGGGGTCTGAAGTCCTTTGTATGTTTTATTTTTCAAGAGTTACACAATTGAGTGTTTAACTCCCTAGACTCAATGGGGTGCATATGCTTTTGGCCAGACGTTTCAGATTTACTGTGTCACTGTCTGTTTAGGTTGGGACATTTTGGTCCTTCTTGCCATTGTGCTTTTTGATGCAGGATTTGTTACTTTGCACAAGCCCCACTCCCAGCCCTGGAGAAGGATTTTGCCGAGAATGAGCAAGTTCCATTTGTCACTGGATTGCTTTTTAGCAAGCTTGGGGGTTCTCCTTATAGTAACAGGACCAAGCGGGAGGAACTGATTTCACCCTGTGTGAAAGAGGAGTAACTCGATTGACATTCTGTTGTAATTTAGCAGTCGGTTAATGGCCACTTACTGGAAAATGTTACTAGGCTCTGCGGTGAGTGTTGTTAGAAACTGAATTACTCTGTGTATTTCCCCAGGGCCCTTTCCCCCCTTCCCTTGGAGTAGACACTCTGAGCTGCAGGATGTGGGACTGTGTTGCAATCACAGTTTCATTGTTCCTTTGTATTATTTATTTTATGTTCAAAAATAATTATATTGCTTTTAATGGCACCAGAGACTTGTGAAGAGCCCAAGGGGTGGGACAGGGGTCACTGGGTTATTCCTTGGGTAGCCCTGGCCTGCGGGTGCCTGGGGCAGCCTGTGAGACAGGTCTAGTTTCACACATGATTGATTTGAGTCACTCTGATTATCATTCCAGGTCTTTGTCTTTACCCATTAAATGATTTCAAACAACTAGTCACTTCCCTGGATTTTGTGTAATCATTCACTCTGTAAAACCTGTGACAGGCTGCAGAGGTGACAGAATGTGTTCCCAAGTCCAAGCTCGAGTAGAATCCTAGCTTTGCCATCTACTAGCTGTGCAACCTTGCGCAATTCACCTATTTCCTAGTGTCAGCATTCTCACCTATTAACAATCAAGGGTTTGTGTTTCCAGGGATGAGTGGAATGGCGTGAGTGGAGGCAGCAAATACAGGGACTGAAACATGCTAAACACTCATCAAAAGTTTCCTTCTTCCTTGCCAACTTAAACTGGAGTAGCAGAATGCCCCCATTCTTTGGGTAGGAGTGTTGGAAACCGAGGGAGAAGGCGAGCTTATCCTTTAATTTTCTTTTGACCTGGAGAAAACATCACCTTCTCCTTCCACACAAAGAAGACAGGTGTGAGTGCCGAGTGTAACCACGGTTACACCATCAGCCATATTGTAACCATGGGCTGCAGCAAGTCCAGGGAACCCCTTCTTCCTGCAGCCCTGGGGGGGTGGCTTGTTCCTGGTTGGATGGTAGAAAGCATGTTGCCTCCAGCTGTACTGAGTGTTTTGGGGAGAGCTGGTCTTCTTCCAGGGAACTCCACACTGGGAGGGCCACATCATTCCACTTCTGGGTCATGTTTTCAGCTCCTGTGCCTACTGGGGATCTCCATCCTTTCTGCTGTGATTGCCGCCAGCCTCCCGTGTAATTACTGTGGCTGTTGACTTTCTTTCTCCACGTGAGTGGAGGGAGTCTTCTGGGGCTCTTGGCAGCCTTGCTGCCTGGTGGCATCAGAGCCTGGATTTTTGAGGTCATGTAGATTCCTGAGTCTTTCCTTCCTCGCCCCCATCTGGATGGCATCCCTGGGTCCAGCCTACAGTGGCACTCGGGGGAAAGTGGCTGGCTGGCTCTGCTGGCTCCACACACGACTGGCACACACTGACGCAGCTGTGGTTTGCTTCTCTTTCCTTCCCTCCCCCTCTAGAGTATAAGAAGAAGTACGGAGAAGAACATGGCTCCTGCCAGGCTGGGATAGCAGGCTTCTTCACTAAGGTGGGTGTTGGCTGTCTGAGCAGTTCTTTTCTCTTTTTGGCGTTCATTTTCTTGCTTATTGTGATTTTGGCAATCCTTTGAGGTGAGTGAGACTTCTGGTGTCTCAGATACTTGAACTATGAATTGGTAGATGATGGTCCTCACAGCAGGAAAGGTGATTTAAATCTGATGGGGGCACCAGTTGGCCAGAGACCCCCGGACAGAGGGAGACAGGCTGGCTTATTCAGGGGATACAGCTGTTTGATGGTTTCTGTAGGAGTCAGCTTGACTCAGGCACATGGAAAGAGTCAATTTGGCGGGTGCGGATGAGGCAGCATTCAGCCAAGTCATGCCTCATTGTTGGTGGTGTGAAGACAAAGGTGTGGGTGTCACCTCATGGACACCCCATCTCTTCAGTGGAGACTTAGTTTTATGCATGATGCTGACCATTTCTTTTCCCAAATTTTGGGGGACTGTACACTTGAACACCCATGTGCCTGCACAGTCGCCTGACCTTGGCTGGCCGTGCATTTTCAGGTGCAGCCGTCATGTGTGAGTCTCACCTGCTGTAAGTTGGCCCTTCATTTCAACTCCTTGTTCTTTAGGCATTTTCACAACTACCTGCTGTGCAGAGTCCATGAGGGGCTCCGTGCATGGCATTGTCATCCATTTAGTTGCTAAGGCCCCCCAAAGTGCTTTTTACTTCAGTTCTAGTTCATCTGACATCCTATTAGTTTAACCTCTAAAACCTTTCCCTAATTTGACAGCTTTTATCACTGTCACCTCTTTTGTCTCCTCCATGCTTCTGGAAAAGCCACCCCATCATCACCTGGAGAGACACTGGCCCCAAATTGGTCTCCTGAGATCCATTATTACTTTTTTTTTTTTTACTGTGGTAAAATATACATAATACAAAAGTTCACCATTGTAACCATTTGAAAGGGTACACTCAGGGGCACTGCACACGCACTTTCACAGTGTTGTACAACCACCATCCCTGCCTTGTTTTAGAACATTCCTGTCACCCAGCCAGCATCCATTCTTGAACCCTACCATGTGTTCCTGCACACCAGCCCAAGAAAGCTTTCAAAATGAAACCTGTCATTCTGATGCCAAGGCTTCTCATGACATAGAGGGTTCTAACCCAGATCCTGCGTCTTGGCCCATGCCTGACTCCCTGAGCTCACCCCTGTCCAGCCCAGCTCAGGAGGGCAGAGAGCGCGCTCTGGTGTGCCGAGGCTGCTGATGAGCGTCCCCCCCAGCATCAGAGAGAACTGCCCACCTCCACGTCCGAGACTGCTATTTAAATTCAGAAAGAAACAGGCAGCTGGCAATATAGTGTATGATTCAGAAAGAAAATAGGAAAAGTCCGAAGGTAGAAGTTTTCTATTATCCTTCACTCTCAAACCAAGACATGGGAGATGCTTGCCTCCTAACCCCCATTTCTCACCTTCAGGATTCTTAGTACATCCCTTCACTCGAGAATCACTTAGGACAACCCGTCCTCCACAGAGTCCCATGCTAGCTAGGCCCTGTGAATGGCACTCCCAATTTTCCCAGCTGTTGAAGCCAAAAGTAAGATTCTTCTCTTATGACATTCTCCTACTCCCAAGCCACTAGCAAGTCCTACCACCTGTGCCCTCAAAACCTCCTAACAAAGATGTTCCTCTCCCTCCTTGCCCTCTGCTACCCCACTGCTCCGAGCCACAGTTGCCTTGCTCCCCCCACTGCCGAGTCTTCCCCTTTCTGTTTCCACTCCTGCCTCTGGACAGACTGGTCCCCACAGCAGCCAGAACTGTCTTTTCCAAATGAGAAAAATGCCAAGGTGCTCCTTTGTTCAGGACCTCCCAGTGCCTTCCCATCCCACTCAGAAAGGAATCCACACGCGGCCTTCCTACCTTTCCATCCTCATCTACTGTACGGTACTTTCAGTGCCTGCTAGAGAGCGCCCAGCTCTTACTGGCTGCCTTGTGCCGGAAATCCACACGCAGCTCTCTGTGCGCAGTGCGCGCTTCTTCAGAAGGGACAGCAAGGGGAGGACTTGCTCAGTCAAAGGAATTTTGATACATGCTGGCAAACTGTACTCCAAGAATGTTCACCAACTGAGACTCCCTGGGCTACGTCTGTCCCACATTCCCCCACCAACTTTCAAATTTTTGTCATTTAAAAAATAAACTCATTTTAATGTCTCTTTCCCTGATTATTAGTGTAGTTTAGTATTCTTTTAAAATATTAAACATTTACATTTATTTTTCTGGAAATCGCCAGTTTATGTTCTTAGTCCATCATTCTATCTTTTTCATTGTTCTACTATTTTTTTATAATTTGTTACAAAATTTTCAACACTGGCTCGGCGCCTATAGCTCAACCGGCTAAGGCGCCAGCCACATACACCTTAAGGTGGCAGGTTCGAATCCCCAGCCCAGACCCGCCAAACAACAATGACAGCTGCAACCAAAAAAATAGCCGGGCATTGTGGCGGGCGCCTGTGGTCCCAGCTACTTGGGAGGCAGAGGCAGGAGACTCGCTTGAGCCCAGGAGTTGGAGGTTGCTGTGAGCTGTAATGCCACGGCACTCTGCCCAGGGTGACAGCTTGAGGCTCTCAAAAATAAAAAAAATAAAAAAAATTAAAAAACAGACAAATTTTCAACACTAACCTCTTATCTGTTACATCTTGTTTTTTAAATATGCCCGTGGTGACATGGTGTCTTTATTATACTGGCATTAAATACTCCAGTTTGGTAAAATCTATCAATCTTTTTCTTTTTCTTTTCTTTTCTTTTTTTTGAGACAGAACGTCACTATATTGCCTTCGGTAGAGTGCTGTGGTGTCACAGCTCACAGCAACCTCAAACTCTTGGCTTATGCGATTCTTTTGCCTCAGCCTCCCAAGTAGCTGGGACTACAGGTGCCTGCCACAATGCCTGGCTATTTTTTTGTTGTAGTTGTCATTGTCATTGTGTAGCAGGCCCGGGCCAGGTTTGAACCCTCCAGCCCCGGTGTATGTGGCCCTAACCACTGAGGTACGGGCACCAAGCCCTATCCATCTTTTTCTTTCTGAATTCTAGACCTTCATCTTAGGAGGGTTATCCCTCTCTAAGAATCCACCTATATATTTTTTCTAGTACCTTTATAGGTTTTTTTTAAAAAAGATTTCTGTCTTTAATCCTTCTGAAATTTATTTTTGTATACATTATATGGTAGAAACTATATTTATTCTACATGTATAGTTGCTTGTTCTGATACTCGTTTGTTAACACTTTTTCCTGTCCCCGTTGATCTGAAATGCCATCCTGACACAGGCTAACTTCACTCTCTTCTTCCATCTCAGCATTTAGACATGTAATTAGTACACCTGTTATTCCTCCAGTAGGGCTGGTAATTTCTGACTAACAATGCCTGACTAGTAATGCCTGACTAGTAATGCTGGACTAGTAATGTCTGACTTGAGCCAACCGGTAATGGGGAAGCACTGTAAGGTCATAAGCAGGTGACCTGCCTGATGCGTGGCAGTGTTGTAAGAAGGGCCGTTTGGGTTGACCATGGGAGGACTTTGGCAAGGGATGGACCGGAAGAAAAGCTAGGTAGGAGGCTGTGGAGTAGGGCAGCTATGGAGCAACAGGGCAGATTTAGGGAGATGCTTTAGGAATAAAAATGATTGGAAGAGTTAGAGAATACGAAGGAAGTAGCAGGGGCTGGATGGCCAGAGGACTGTAGGGTGGAGGAAGAAGGTTTTGAGCCAGATTTTTGGAGAATAGTGGTATCCCTGGTGAAAAGCAGTCATCAAGAAGGAACCCAGTGGGAGAAACTGATGAATCTGCTTTCAGACCTGTGGAGAGGGCAGTGCTGGGACACACACATACATGTATGCTGGAAATATTTGGACATAGACTGGAACCTAGACTGAATTAGAAACTTAGATCTGGCCCTTGCTGGTGACTCTGCTTAGCATAGGGCCTGGGGGAGATTCCTCCCTTTAGATGGGAGCAGAAGGCAGATTCTTTGCAGACACTGGAGCTCACCATGGATGATGGTAGAGAACTAAGGGAGAGGAAGAGTTTTTGGGAGGGAGGTGTCCTTAGGGTCTCACAAGCTGGCTAGTCAGGGAAAATAAAGGTGGTGAGGCAGGACAGAAGAAGGAGTAGAAGGAGGCAGGGTGGGGTGTGTCCAGGTGACCTTGCAGCTCAGGTGATGAGGAACCAGAGCATCTGCAGCAGCTCCAGGCTTGGGTATGCAGAGCCCTGGGTGACCTTAGTCCTTCTGCATGTACTGGCTGAGCTCCGAGTACACAGAAGTGGGGACATGGTGGGTGTACAGATTGAGGGGGAGGGGGTGGGCGGTCGCCAGTGGGAAGGCCGCCCTGCTGGCTGCCACGCAGTCCTTGACCCCAGACTGCTGTCTTCTGGCCAGTTTGGGCTTTGGCCTCTGCTTTGGTTCCCAAGCTTTTTGCCTCCTTAAACCCGAGGTCTTTGAACTCCCTGTCTCCCTTGTTTCTGGAACTTCAGCTGTTTGTGGCTGAGCAGGAAATGAGCTTGAAGGGGTCAGGCAGGCACTGCTCCCCTCCTCTGCCCTCCTGCTGACCTCTTCACTAGGGCTTGTCTTTGCTGTGAGCTAGTCTGTTCCCTCACAGGGGACACAGCTGCTCCTCAGGGTGGACGTACTTTTGTGGCCTTCTGGACATGGCCTTGTTGCCCTGAAATGTTCTGTCCCAGGGTGCTTGCTTGACCCGCTGGTCAGTGACCTTAAGCTTATCAAAGCTATCTGAGTTATGGATGCCACCTGAGCTCTAGCGTGTCATTGAGGATAAGGGAGAATTTTCTGGTAACTTTATTTATTTTTGTAAGACTAGGCTAATAGAGGTGACAGGTACTTCTAAGTAGTAAGAGAGGACTTGAACCAACCTGGCCAGCATCGGAGCACTACTGTAGGAGCTTCTAGCACAGGTCCCAAACATTCTGCTTTCCCACTCATGCCCCTTGCCATGTGCAGATAAAGCCTGTGGCTTCTGTCAGGCACACCCAGGTGCCCCATGCACCTCTGGAGATTCTGCTAACAGATGCATCTTGGGAAAAGACCCACACTGCTGGGATTCCAGGAATATGACTTAGATGGTGGTGGCCTTTGCTTGCTGAGAAGCTTCATTTATGTATGTGACATTTGCACTAGCCTATGGGGTGGGGAGGTAAGCACTGGTCACATTTTCCTGGCACTTGTGAACAGCACCAAAAAGGGCACAGGCATTATCCGTAGTGGACAGAAAAAAACAAACACGAGGGATTTCCAGGAAGACACTGTCCCCGCCTCCCACCCCAGCCCTGAGAACTGCAGGCTGTGCCCCGGGTTGTCTAGTCTGGACGGAAGGAGGAGGAGGTGTGAGCACTAGGAGGAGAGGGGAAAATAACCAACAGCTATTGGTTTTGAAGGTTTCTGGGGAGAGGGCTGACTTTGTCCTGCCCTCTTTGTAATATTTGAGAGGGGATACAACAATGTGTTAGCAGTGGGTTCATCAAGTCATCGGAAAGCGATGTGTCTGCTGCCTGGTGTCCTGAAGCGCCTTTGCAGACCTGTACTGATGCTTGAAGCTCTCAGTTATAAAGCGTTACAGATGGAGATGGCTCTATGCTGTATAAACAGCTGCGGCCAAAGATATCACTCACAATGTTCTTAGGTGCCCTTTGTGTTTGGACATTGATTACAAATTCCTTTCTAAGCTCAAGGCCATGAAAAAACTGTCTCTCTCCTTTGATGAACTGATCATTTGTGTTTCTCACACTCTTTCTAGAGCTAGCAGAGCAGACGAGTATACAGAGAATGAATGAAAGCACATACCACTGTTTTCCCAGGGGTGAGTCCTGAGTGCAGAAAGTCTCTTTTTATTGGACAGTGAGATACCTCTGAGAACATCTGGCTTATCTTCAACAGCTTTCTTTGAGGAGAATAGACTCTCAGAATCTTAAAACAAAGTGTCCATCAATAGTCATTTCTTCCTGAATTACCAAAAGGAAACCACACAGACCAGAATCTACTGGCTTTTCTTCCATCTGAGCTCATAATTTACTCTTTGTTAAGGCTCTTCCCCAAATTGACCATGGAACGTATGTTATTCAGGGCCTTATCAGAAACTAGCAGCTTCTGTTGGCGGGTGGGGCAAGCTTTGCAGAGAGGCAAGCCTGGGAAGATCTGTTTCTGAAATACAGAACAGGGTTGGGGACTCTGATGGCCTTGCTGGTGTGTGTTTCAGGTCACAGGACCTATAGAGCCTGAATGGCTTGCATTGTTGTGGTTTTGTCTGCAGCTGAGGACCTTCATCTGGAAATTGTATTGTCTTAACCCTTTTGGATAGGATGTTTTAAAAATACCTTGCACATTTCATCATCATCTCACCCCAAAAATGTTGCACAAAGAGATTTTATTTTGTATCCAGCAAGAACTCTGGTAATAGTAGGTGCTTAATAAATATTGGTGAGTGAAAAAATTAATGATTTCACTAGAAAAACAATCTTGATGATTTCTTATGGCAGTATAGATACTTTAGAAAATATAGGTAATCGGAAAGAGGGGATTCCCTGTTGGGGAAGAAAGGACAGGAAGCCGGGACTATCTGATGGACGTGAGGACTGCCCACCCTCCCCTCACCTCAGCATGGCATCTGCACAGCAATGCTCTGTTTTAATGCTTGCAAAATGTCATCTAACAATCACATTTGGTGTTTGTGTGGGATGACTTTCTTTCCGATGTTTAATCACTGTTCTAGACTTGCCAGAAATCAAAGTTGATTACATTTACTAAGAACAACCAAGTGCACTATTTTAAATGCAGGAGTCACTGACTTTTTGACAAATGTGCATAAGCGTGTTGTCCCTACCTCGATGAAGATTAGAACATTTCCATCACTCTAGAAAAGTCCCTCCTGTCCCTTTTCAGACAGAACCCCCTTCTTTATGCCATGCAGCCATTGCTTGGATTTCTGTCACAATAGATAGGTTTTGTTGATTCTAGAACTTCATATGAGTTCTGTTTTTTGGTTGGTGGTGTTGTTTTCCCATCAATGTTTTGTCTAAGATGTACCCACATTTTGACAGGGTTTTAAAGAACTGAAGGTTACCCAAGCAGGGGAGGTGTGAGGACATTGCAAGCATGGAGGTGAAGAGAGCAGAACATGCTCAGAAAGCCAGGATTAGTTTAGAGGGTTCCAGGGACAGTGGCAGGAGAGGAGCCTGATGTGGCTGAGAGAGTTGGCAGTGTTGACTTTTACCTAAGCCTGGTGCTCTTAGAAAGTAGTCTGTTCTAGAATTTTGAAGATAATTACAAAAGCTTACAGAGATAAGCTTTAGGGATGAGGGGGGAGTGTGAGACTGATTGATTCCAATAATCTTATCACTTAGTGGAAGAAACCATGAATGCTTTGGGGCTTATCCTTCTGGTCCTTTTGGTTGCTTATCTGTTTGTATGTTTGTTTAACAAATCATGATCGTAGTGTACATATTGTTTGGTATGTCCTTTTAAATTCACCACCACTTTGTGATTACCTCTCAGTGTCATTAGATCTTCCACAGTGTTTTAGAATCCATGAATGAATGTACCGTAATTTAGAGTCCCTGTTAGATATTCATGTTGTTTCCAGCTTCTCTTATGCTGGAAACATGACACATATCCTTGTGGGTAAAATCATTAGATATCCGTGCTGACTTCCTTAGGTAACTGAATCCTTTTTGGGCACTTAGGACTATCATCAGCATTGGCCTTTTGATGGTTTTGTGGCATAAGCTTGCTCTCAGGCCTGTCAACCATTTCCCACTAATCTGATGCTGAAGACAGCTGTGCCTTTTTTTTTTTTTCTTTTTTTTGAGACAGAGTATCACTATGTTGCCCTGGGTAGAGTGCCATGGCGTCACAGTTCACAGCAACCTCAAACTCCTGGGCTTAAGTGATTCTCTTTCCTCAGCCTCCCAAGTAGCTGGGAACACAGGTGCCTGCCAAAATGCCCAGCTATTTTTTGGTTGCATTTGTCATTGCTGCTTGGCAGGCCTGGGCTGGGCTTGAACCCACCAGCTTCAGTGTATGTAGCCAGTGCCCTATTCATTGAGCACCAAGCCTATCTTTTGTGTTCTTGAGTCTGTCTATTTATTTTATTTTTGAGACAGAGTCTTACTCTGTAGCCCTGGGTAGAGTGTCATGGCATCATAGCTCACAGCAACCTCAAACTCTTAGGCTCAAGTAGTCCTCTTGCCTGAGCTTCTCAAGTAGGTGGGACTATAGGTACCCACCACAATGCCCAGCTAGTTTTTCTATTTTTAGGAGATGGGTCTTGCTCTTGCTCAGACTGGTCTTGAAATTCTGAGCTCAGGTGATCCACCCACTTTGGCCTCCCAAAGTGCTTACAGGTATGAGCCACTGGGTCTGGCCCTAGAGTCTGTTTTAATAGTAACACTGCTGCTTTCTGCCTGCGGTCTCTTCTTACAGTTTATGTCCTTCCTCGCCTGTGTTCACTGATCTTGGGGTTTTATCTTCCACATCTGCAGTGGCCATAGCGGCTGGAAAACTATGCTGTGGAACCACTCCTGAGAGGAGGATCTTGAGTGAGGACTAGAGGGGATTTTGCGAAGCTGATTTTGATCACTATTTTCCTTTGCTGTGTATCAAGCAGAGAGGCCTTGCCAGGTAGTGGGGCTGGCATCCAGGCTAGGAGAGGTGTTGCTGACTTTCCATGAGTGTTATTTTCTGAAACCTGTGGCTTAGGACAGTGTCGGTGGTTTGCTGTCTCCTTTGTGTCAACTTGAAGAAATGAGTGTAGCCTCACTGTGGATAGGAAAGGGGCCTGGCCTGTCGTACGTTTTGTCCCCTTACTCAATCATCTTCATGTCTTTAGTCCTGATAATCCCATCCTATGATAGAATCCATAATGCTAGGGAATCTGGTGAAGTATTTTTTTATTGCTGGAAAAGTCCTTGGTGTGATGTATTTTAAATTTAATTCTGAGTTCTCTCTTGTTGTAACTGTGGCTCTCATCACACCCCCTCTTCCCCTCCTTACCTTTCTTCCCTGTTTATCCTTTGAATTTCTTTACTGTAGGAGCTGGTGGTGATGGGTGCTCCAGGGTCATTTTATTGGGCTGGGACGGTCAAAGTGCTGAACCTTACGGACAACACCTACCTTAAACTGAACGATGAGGTGATCATGAACAGGCGCTATACCTACCTGGGTGAGTAGCTCAGGGAGATGACAGGTAAGGAAGGGGGAGTGGGTGCGATTCCCACCAAAGTGCTTTCTTGGTGGAAAGAAGACTTAGTTGTCTTTGACATCTATTGTTCTAATTACTCATTTGTTCAGCCAGGGCCCCTTAACATCTAGCCCCCTATATAGAAGGTAGAGAGGAGAACAAAGGAGGAAACTGAGGTTGAAACTGTGTGATCATGAAAAAGCTGATGGTAAAGCCTCCGGGGAAGCAAACATCTTATTTTATTGTTACAGCAATTACTCAGGTTCACATGGTCAAAGACAAAATGAATGTCATAGACTCCTGGGTTTTCAGGGCTTCTCTTTGGATGGAGTCCCTGCTTCCTGGGCACAAAGCTGGTTGCAAATAGAAATAACAAGGACCAGAAATTATCATGGCAGATGACAACTTAATACCGAAGTTTAATTAAGGACTCAGAACAATTTCTCTTATTTTCTCAGCCCTTTTAATCTTCTAGAAAGAAGATAGACACAATTTAATTTAGCAGCCATCAGGCAAGAATGATGCCAGGCTAAGGCCATGCCCATTTACGAACAGAGGCTGCCTTTGCTTGTGTAGATGATAATTACAAGACTCTTTTCTTTAATCCATGCCCTAAATGCTATAATTCTGGACTGAAAAGGAGGCTAAGTTTAGGCCTGATGACGACAAAGCAATGCTCTTTCACACTCATTACACATAAATCAGGGGAAGCCCCTCACCTCTTTTTTTGCATAGAGAATTACTGGGAATTTCTTGTTACGTGGGAGCAGGGAGTTGTGGACCTGCCTTTTCCTATCTAACTGCAAGTTTTTTTGCCCAGTAGCACAGACCCAGTGATCCTTCTACTCGGGGTCTCGGGGATGTTTGCTCCTATACGCACCAGCCCCTTAACGCTGTCTCTTTTAAGCATTTATTCTGTCAGACTCTGGGCATTATTTCTTTTAATCCTTGAAACAACATTATGAGGTTGCTATAATTATTACTATCCACAGTCTATAAATAATGAAACTGAGGCACAAAGAAGTTAATATGACTTGTCAAAGTCAAATGGCTCCTAAGTAGCAACGTTGGGGTATAATCCTGTGGTTTCTGAGCATAGCCTGAGGCAGAGCTCCTCCTCCGTGTGGCCACTGAGACAGCGCTGCCACTGGTACTATGCTGGGAGCACCTTGAAAGTGGGAATGTTGTCTCACAGTTCTGGGACTTGGCATGGCTCTGGTGGATAGTAGAAACTCAACACAGGTTCACTGAATCAGAGAACCAAGAGAAGGCAGAAGAAATCCTGGTTTAGATGGCAGCTCTAGCGCCTAGCCCAGGTCCTTTGAACCTCAGGGCTTGTGCGTTCTCCCTGTATACAGAACAGAGGCCCTTATCTGCTGTAGGGATTAGCAAGGATCAGTTCAGGCTTTGATATCACTCATAATACCCTTAAGTGATATAAGCCTCCATTCTGAAGAAATCAGCCACATGGTGAATAGGAATTGGTGACAATATGGTGTCATCACAAAACTCAAACACCTTATAATCACAGCATTAGGGTTTGAGGGTGATGACAAGTTTGGAGACTATCTAGTAGCCTGCACGGAGTTTATGCTGGCCAGAGGGAAGTTTTCAGCCTTCCCAGCAAGGCTCCCAGAAAGCATGAGACCTTTAGATTAAGCTCAGACGTTTCCCTTTGTTTCTAGATTCCTTTTGTATACAGATTCTTTGACCATCCGTCCATGCCAGCTTCTTTTCCCTTCTCTTAGGAAGGGATATGCTATGAGGATAGATAATTAAGTTTGCAATTTCATCCTAGAAAAAGCGATTTTGGAATTCTTTTTCCAGAATGGCCATCATAGCTGTTGTAGTACTCAGTTAAACAATTAAGTTTGCAAACTCATCCTAGAAAAAGTGCTTTGAAGGGTGGACTAGGCACCGGTAATCAGTGCATAGCTTCTGAAGAAGAGTACTTCAAAGGTGACCGCAGTGATATTCAGCAATGAGGTATGCAGCACTTTTTCCGGGATGAATTTGTGAACTGAATTGTCCGATCTAACTAGGGGGACTTCAGAGAAACACGTTAGATTTAAATCTTGCTTGTGATCTTTGGCATGTAGTTTAACTATGTTTTGTCTGTTTCCATGTTGGTAAAATAGAAGAAGCAATAATACCTTCTTCAGAGAGTTAGATAAAAGCAGGTAATGGTACCTAAAGATGTGTAAGAATGTTCATAGCAACTTTATTCATAATAGCCGCAAATGGAAAACAACCCAAATGCCACGTATAATGGGAGGATCAATAAAGATATGATATATTTATACAATGGGACATTAACCAACAATAAAAAGAAACTACTACTATACTCAACAACATGGATGAATGTCACAGATGTAATGATGTTGAGTGAACTTCTAGAAAAAAGGAAAGCTAATATATAGTGACAGAAATCAGAATAGTGGCTATATTTGTGGGGATATTGACTGGGAAAGGGGACAAGGGAAACTTCTGGGGTGATGGTTCTATGGTGATATTCACTTTCTTGATCTGAGTGAGGTTGCATGGTTATTCACATATGTACACATTAATTTCTACATATCAGATGTATGTACTTAACTGTATGAAAATTATACTTTGAAAAGAAAAAAAAAACAAAACTGTATTTAGCACAGTATCTGTCCTAAAGAGGACCCTCTGAAAAAACTCTCTCCTGCCCTGATGTTCTTGGGAACGTGCCTTGTTTTGAGATGAACCATTTTAGTCTGAGAAGATTGACAGCTGCCATTGTTCCCTGGTAGTATATGTTCTGAGAGTAACTGAAACGTACCTGTCCAGATACGGGACATGATTAAGAAACTTTTTCCTCTGGTGGATATTTTTCTTTCCTGTCCTTCTTTCTCAACCCTGTGCTTGTTTTCTGCCCATCCTCTTCAGGCTACGCAGTGACCGCTGGCCACTTCTCTCACCCGTCTGCCACTGACGTGGTAGGAGGTGCCCCACAGGACGAAGGCATTGGAAAGGTGAGGGGGAAAACTTGTGGAATATCATGTGGGGGGGTCAGACAGAAGAGGGGAGCTTGCTGCCCCTGTTGTACAGGTTTGCCAGCTGACTTGGACCCAAACCTGCTCCTGGGTGGCTGGCAGGTAAATGATGAAGTTGTGAGGAACTCCCATAGTCCCCTTCCATTCGAGGGTTTCCCTTGAAAGCTCAGAGTGTGAATAGATATTCATATTCTCCATTTTCTGCACATTCTCATCTAAGGGTCTTAACAGCTGTGTGTGTGATTTATAAGACTGACCCCTGGCATCATGGTGCCCTTTAAAGGGATGGCATCCAGTGATGTTCACCTTCAAATCCCCATCCTTCCAAAGCCTTTCCAAGTTTGGTTTTCACTGAATGGAACCAGGTCTGAGCTCAGATGTATTTGGGCCTTTATTTATGCCCTAATTATTTTTCATATTATTTTCCCAATGTTTTAGAAGGAACATTAGGTTCCTGAGACTGGTTTAGTCTAAATGCTGGACTGGAAATATGTGGATCTGGCTTTCCCTGAAAGACCCCATGGATCTGGGGCTGTCTCAATCCCTTTTGGAGTCATGACCTCCAAGTGGCCTATATAGTTCTAGTTATATAGAACTATGCTTGTTAGTTCTTCAGTTTCAAGGTACAGGCAATCCAGATTGAATAGGTCCACATGGGTCAGGAATCTGCATTTTTAGCAAGCTCCTTAGGTTGTCTGATGGAAAAGACTGAATGGAGGAATCAACTGTATATCTGAGCCCATGGGGTGGACCTGTGATAGAGTCTGGATGAATCTCCTGGGGCTCAGAGAACTGAGGTCTAGGATCTGGATTGGCCCAATGGGCTAGACTGCTGTCCATTGGAGCCTTCAGCCACACTGTTAGGATGGTCAGGAAGCTAACAATCCACCCAGATGCCTAAACTTGACTGAGATGTGTTCATGAGTGTTATTTCTGTGGTTCCTCCTGGTAAGAGGTTAGGAGCTAATATCTCTGGAGCATGGGCCTTCTTCCTTAACATTGATGCGATGGAGAAAGGTTCTTTGAAAATGAAACCAGATAAACCAAGGCTCTGAGAGAAGGAAGGAGAGGTCATGCAGATGACCTGTGGTAACCTTGAGAGAGAAGTGAGTCTTTCTGAGTCACATGAATTTCTTTTCATGGTAGAGGAAAAATGTACCAAGAGCTATCTCCACACTGATGGAGTCTTCTGGATGAGGAGTTGGAGGCCAGCAGGCATCTCTGCAATGTTGGTAAAAATGCTCACCCCCAGCTCACAGCAAGGCAGATGCCTCTGTGCTGATGACAGAGGCTGGGACTGCTACAGACTTCATTACCAAGGGTCCCAGAATGGACTTCTGGCCTTTAGGATTTTGGTGGTTATTCATTTCTGTTGTCAGGGCATTCATGCTAAGCATTGTAGATCCTTATACCATGTGAGGATCATCTATTCTGATTCATTTGAGACAATCTTCCCAGAAGATGTTACTTGAAAAAAACTTCCATTGTCCAGTGTATTCAGGGAGTTAAATGCCACTGACTATCTTTGCAGTGGAGATTCATAGTTTAAATGTACATGCTAAAGGCACTATAGAGTTCCACAATCAAGGAATTGTGCTATGTTTAAATCTACATTTCACAAACCAATTCATATTTGCCCAAGTGGATCTCATGGCTCTATTATTATATGAAATCAGTCTTGGAAACTTTTTCACCTACAATATTCACATCCATCCCTTTGTCTTATTTTGTGATATCGATTAAAGCTCTAACTAATAGAAATAAATGAAATATTTTAAGAAAAACATATTTTTCTGAGACTTGGATTATTTACTAGTAATTGGGAAGCTCCTTGGGTCTTTTTTTGTGCATAGTTTCTGTAAATCATATAGTTCAGGAGCAGTGGAGGTGATTTGATTGCTGCCTCAGGATTGAAGGGCAAGGTTTTTGCAAGATTGGTTAAGAAGAGCTCTATGCTGACCTCTGCATTATCATCAGCCAGCATAAGCACACCTGCCATGTGCCTGGCCTTTAAATAGGACTCCCAAGAGAGTGCTGGTCAATATCTTTGGTCATTGCTTCCATTCTAATTAGACTTTTTTTTTTCTTTCCGTAGGTTTATATATTTAGAGCTGACCGAAGATCAGGCACCTTAATTAAGATTTTTCAGGCATCAGGTAAAAAGGTGAGGTTCTTGGTATAAATGACTGTTTTTTGTTTGTTTGTTTGATTGTTTGATAAATGTGATCATGTGATTAGTTTTGAATTTTTAGAAAGTTGATTTGAAGGCCCTGCATATGCCCTGCATTTATAGGGTGGTTCTGTCTATATTTCGGTGTCTTCACCTTCTCAGCAGTGTGTGCAGCCTACAGATTCATGGGATTCATTCTCATTTTAGGAGATATCATGTAGCAAGATGAGTTTATATACAGCCAAGTGTACAGCACAAAGTTTTAAGAAGTTGTTCATAGTTCAGACATTCATCAAAATGACTAACATGCCCTTCTCTCTGCCTTTCTCTGCCTTCATCTGTCTCATATTCATGATCTCCACCTCCAGGGAGAGTTGAGTTGAGTAGCTGAGTTGAGTAGTTGAGTTCCAGTAGCAAGCCCATTGTGTCTATATAAGTGATTACTTTCGAAGCATGCAGGTAGTCAGATGCTTCTCACTGTCCCTCTCTCACCAGCCTAATGCTGTCTTTTTCCCCCATATCCTCAGCCCTCTCCTATCACTGCCACAGGGACTGTTGTCATACAAAGAAAATCCAAACAAAAGTCACCTAATGCCTTTTAGTTCAGGAGGCTGCTCTGAAGTTAGTCCTGGCTGAGGTTTATCTGCTTATATGATCCTACCATTTCCTCTCCCCCAATCCTCTTCTGCTTCCTGAAGGTTTCCAGTACCATGTTTCCCCGTAAATAAGACACTGTCTTATATTTATTTTTTCTCAAGAAGACACACTAGGGCTTATTTTTAGGGGAGGTCTTCCTCTCTGCCAAAATGCATGGCGTGGCTATGCAACATATCTGCACAGCCACACCTATCACTGGGTCTTATTATTGGGGTAGGGCTTATATTTAAAAATGCATAGAAATCCTGCTTGGGCTTATTTTTTGGGGAGGTCTTATTTTCGGGAAAACATGGTATATGGCTCTATAGTCTAAAATTAAGCCAGTAGAGAGCCCTTCAATTACAAAAGCATTTTTCATGGGCTTATCAGTCATACACTCCTCAGTGTGGCTTAGATCAGCAGGACTGTTTGGCTGAGCTTGGGTGCTCTATGAAACATAAGTTTAGGCTGGGAAGGGTAGGGAATAATTTTGAGGCTGGTCTTAGGAGAGGCCTCAGGGGTCCTCAGAAGGAGCATAAGGTGCCTCAAAAGTGGGGAGGAGATTCCAGAAGGTAGGGGAATGTCACAGATGATTTTACCTGCCACTACCCTGAGACAAGGAGAAAAACTGGTTGTTTCCTTCTGGACCATGTGCTACCAGGCCCAATTCTGCTTACTCTGTGAGTTAGACCTTCTGCAGGCCATTCTGAATTCCAAAAGGTCCACTCACAAGTAGACCTTTCTGCAATTTCAACAACCCAAATATATACTTACCCTTAGTGTATAATTGTCATAACCTTTTGAATAAAAACTGTATCACCAAACTTGGTTTGGAGTTTTCCCTCAGAATGGCTCTGTGTTCCCCTGAGAACCATGCTGGCCTCTGTTATTTTAACATTTCTAAAACCCCAAGGCAACAACACTGGAAAATGACTCTGAGCAATTCTGCAAAAAACCATTTTCCAAGCACCCCAAAAGTTAGGAAAGAAACAGCTCCATGTCGTTTATGATTAAAGAGCCCTAAAGAGCAGCAGGGTATGAATGGCACTAATTCTAACCTTTTAGCTCTTCAGAAAATAATAAATGGGTGAACGTGTCCACTATGGAAACAAACTCCCTCATCTTTTCAAAGGTACTTGAGTTTGGAAGCGTGAGACTAAAGGATTCTTTAAAGTGAATCGTGCAGCTTAGACATGCCGGGCACCCTGTTTTACAAGAGCCTTTATGCTCAGTGGTAGCTGTGCCTCCTGACACGCCTCCTCCTTCTCCACTCTACTCTCTGCCACCTGTGCCCTGGGCAGGCCCAGTGAATACCTGTGCTCCTTGTGTGATTAACAGTCTGTAATCATGCCCTCTCTCCTTAAAAACCTCCTGGTTTGGATGCTAATTTTACATGGCCACCCACCTATGCTTAAGTCGCTCAGGCTTTGGGGGGCAGATTTGAGACTTTGTGGTATGAAGGGGATTAGGCAAACCCCTGAGAAGCCACTTGTCCAGACTTCCTGAGGACTTTGTGCCATTGAGTTCCAGGACAGACTCACTTGTCTGTCTACTTGAATTTCTTTATTTTGACAACATAAGTCAGGTTTCCTGGAGAGGGGACGGAGGGACTCAGCTATCTCACCACCCAGCTCCATGGCTGTGTGACTCTCTTTTCTTCAGGGCCCCTACATTCCCCACCCCTCTTACCATTCTCTAGCTAGCCCTTCATTCTACCACTCACTCATGGCCCTCTTGCCTTCATTCCTTCTCCCAGTATCTCTAACTAACTTTACCCTGTCATCCTTGTTCTGATTTTGAAATAGCCCATTACCTCTGTTCATACCACTTATTCTGACTTTTGCCAGAAGAAATGAGACATTCTTGTCTCTCTGACTTCTCTATTATCTCCTAGGGAGAGGACATGACCCCAGGCTTTCAAAGAACGCCATTAGCTCTAACCCTGTGTCTGGAGCCACTTAGAAGGGAGGATTTTAACTCAGCAAACCGCCAGTTCACTTCTGCTTTCATTTGGCTAGGATTGGTCAGATAGTCCTATATCCTGGCTTCCCATAAGAAAAAACAAACAAAAAAACCCAACCCCAAAACCCCAAGCCAAAAATCCTCTGTTCTTTATTGGTTAATATCCTTCAACCAGTACATATAAGAGATCACCAATTTGTGTTTAATTCGGCTGTTAGCACAGACACACGTCTCTGCATTTCCCTAGACTGATGGGGTACTCTGATAAGGGCTGCTCCCCCCCCCCAAGCATGTCGTTGCTGTGCTGAAATTTTATTGAATTAACTGAGTATGTGAAGTGTTTGCATTTCAAAACTTAGATAGGAAACTTCATGTACAGGGATTTCTGATTTAACACTGATGAAGATGCCAAGTTAAATAGCCCATTGGAATGAAGCAAATAGTTCCCCTGGGGCTCAGCCAGAGAGAGCGGCGGGCGGCTTTGCTCTTTGGGGCCTTGCGTGGGTCTTCCCAGTTTCTTTTACTAAAGCTCAGATCGTGAGATCTGCAAGGTCACTGAATTAGTGACTGGCAGTTTGGTTTCTGTCCTTCCCTCCTTCTGTGACTTCAGACCTTTCCTGTGCCCTTCTCCCTTGAGAATGGGCAGTGGCGGGAAATGGAGGTGGCCTTGGCGTGTCACTGGGGCAGGATTTCTGAGCAGCCACTACAAAGTCCTCCTGTGCCAGGGTGAGCTGCAGGAAACAGATTGGAGTGCCCTCTACCTCTCTCAAACTCCCCTGGAGCAGCTGCCAACGAACTCCAATAGTAAAAGAAAAAGCTTATTCATGTCCATAAAATTAGAGCCCTGCTGTTTGAAAACATTTATTTTTAAAAATTAGCACCTTATAGTTTAAATAGAGATTGCAAATGGAAGCCGTTGGAAAGGGTACATCCTGCAAAAACTTTTGTTTGGCCTGAGTATTATTTGTTTATTATTTTTTAATGTGAACAAGTTGCCACTGTTAAAAAAATAGGCACTTCAAAGAAAATTTTCTCTTGAAAAATGGGAAGGTTGGTCCTCTGTGGGTTAGCCTTCCTCCTGGTAGCAGTTAGTTAGAGCTGGGTAGGAGCTGCTGCTTTAGCTCCACCTGCAGGTTCCAGTTTGCTACAGTCTCTACCCCTCCCTATTGTCACTTAGAACCAAAGACAAGCGCGACCTCCCACTTGTAAGCATACATGCACTGTTATCTTTTTGTTAAGTCTGTTGTATCACCTTCCTGGATCCCACTGGTGTTTGTATTTGAGACCCTCAACTTAAAATAATAGGTACTAAATAAAATTATGGTTAGAGAAGAGCCAGTAGAAACTGGCTCTGTTTTTTTCATCAGTCAGCCAGTTTTACGGCTTAGACCTTTTTCTGTCACTTTGGCTCAGGCCTTTCTAACTGATCCTTAGCTAGGCACAGGACTGGGAGAGGATAACCTCTTTTTCCATGTACCATTTATTTTCATGCCTGCTTTGTGTTGTGAAATTTCATTTTCCTACTTGCTTGGCCTTGTCAAATGTCTGTTCTAAGGGGCACTTTTATTATGGTTGTAACCTATATTCCCAACCTCAGCTTGCCCCTCGTTCTCGAGGGATCACTCTGTTTATCTTCCCTTTGATAGGGCTCTAGGAACGGGACTCTGGGCCAGTTAGCTTTGGTCTCATGTTGCCTGGGGCTCTTCCTTGCTGCTGGAAGTTGGGCATTTCACTATTTGCATAGGCATTCTGGTTTGTGAGGCAGGGTAGCTGTCACAGCCTCTGCTTGGCCAGAGGCTAGCGAGGGCCTCCTGCGTGAGGGCAGACACTGAACGCTTTGTTGCAACTCAACTTGGTTGCAGATGGGCTCTTACTTCGGCTCCTCCTTGTGCGCAGTTGACCTGAATGGGGACGGCCTGTCTGACCTGCTGGTGGGGGCCCCCATGTTTTCTGAGATCAGAGATGAGGGGCAGGTCACCGTCTACATCAACAGAGGAAATGTGAGTACAGCACTGGGTAACATGGGGGTGGCTGCAGGGAAGGGACATTTGTCCAGCTGGTGGTGACTGGGCATCCCTCTGGGCTTGCACTGGGCCGCATTACCCAGAGGAGGTAAAAAGACATGATTCCTGCCTTAAAGAAGCTCTCTTCCATGAATGGAAACTTATATGCAATATTGCAACTGTAAACATGCAGAGGCCGGGAGGAATCTTAATAGCTGTCATTTGAGTGCTTACTTGTACCAGGGACTGTTCCTCCTGCTTTCTGTGAGTGATTTCAAGGCAACGTATACATGGTATCAAGGGTCCCCATTTCTCAGGTGCAAAAACTGAGCACCAGAGAGGTTAAGTAACACTTCCCAAGTCACACAGCTATGAAGTGGTGGGGCTGGGATTTGAGCCTAGGTAAACTGTCTTCAGAGCTGACATGCTTCATCTTGAGGTTACACTGCTTCTCTGGCAGTATGTATACATCTGCCCAGGGAGGCAGAGGAGGGCAACACAGTGGCTGGGGGAATCTTGAAAAAGGAGCAGGAGTTAGCAAACAGGCAGGGTGCGGTGTGACAGAGCTCCTGGCAGGAAGCTGAGCCAGTGGGTTAGGTATGAGGCAGCAGGACCACTCAGCTCAGCATGAAGGGACAGGGGATTTAGTGGTGGGGACATAATCTTGATGTTCCTCATTCTGCAGAATGATGAAAGGGATGTGACAGAGTCAGAAAGATGCTTCTACCTCTCTGCAGCTGATGGAGCCTGGGCAGAGGGGGAGAGCAGTGTGCTCATGGAGGCAGGAGGCCGGTGAGAAAGCGGAGTCTTCAGGACCTGGAAATTCGAGTGTTCAACAAGAGGGCAATGGTTCAGTGAACACATTCTGGCACCTGCCTTTTAGCCAGCATGAGAAAATGCTTATGAGAGAATTAGTGGAAAAGCAGGATGATAACTGTGTACAAACAACCTTTAAAAATATGCTAGATATGGGATAGCATATTTTAGTGGGTAGGGCCCCCATGGCTTAGTGGGTAGGGTGCTGGCCACATGCACTGAGGTTCGAACCCAGCCTGGGCCTGCTAAACAACAATGACGACTGCAACAAAAAAATAGCTGGGTGTTGTGGCAGGTGTTTGTAGTCCCAGCTACTTGGGAGGCTGAGACAATAGAATCGCTTATGTGATTTGAGGTAGCTGTGAGTTGTGAGGCCACGGCACTCTACCGAGGGTGACATAGTGAGACTCTGTCTCCAAAAAAAAAAGTGAAAATATGCTAGATACATACAGAATGCGAGTAACAGAGCTGTCTGGGCGGTGGTGCTCGGGCGGACTTTTGGTTTTGTCTTCATCCAAGTAGTGAACACATGCAACTTTCAGAAGGAAGAAACATCAATAACTGTTATGTAGTGACCAAGATGCCTGTTACCCAATTGGGACAGGGCAGTGTTGACTGAGCATACCTAGGTCAGCGGAAAGAAACAGCAGTCAGTAAGAGGCAAGCAGGGAAGGTTAGAGCCTTGTGCTGCCTCTGAAGTCGCAGGCTCTATGGGAAGGTGCTTCTTGGTACCTGTAGCAGCAGTTCTTGGTGCCGGCATCCTCACTAACATTCCAGGAAGGGGGGGACAGAGCAGGACATGGGGAGAAATTGTCCTTAGGGAGATGAGAGCAGTGGCCATTCAGTGGCTCTAGTGTATAACATTTGCAGGAGGCAGAAACACTTATGCAGGTGTTGGACCCAACTGCCCGACTGTTCTAAATTAGAGGGTGGACTCTTAAAGTGTGATAATTCCCCCAGAACTCTCTGGGCATGATGCACCCACACGCCCCACCCTCTCAGCCAACATATCTTGCTGTGTGTGGTTACCCTAAGTACTAGGGTCTTATTTCTGTTGAGCCTTACAAGATTAGAAAGCAGTATGGAAGAGTAGAAAATATGGCTTTGGAGCCAGGGGACCTGAGTTTGAATCTTGGTTTTTGTCATTTCCTGGCCTGTGTGACTTGGACAATTTGAAACTGGTAGCTCAATGTCCTTGTCTGTAAAGTGGGAAGAGTCGTAAGGTCTTCTTTATAGAGTCGTTTCATGATTTAAACAAGGGCATGGATGTACAGTACATTGTACATGGAAGGGGTTAGCTACTGGTTTTTCTTCTTCTCCAGCACACTAGTAGGAAGAAACTCACACATGTTTGTGTTTATCATAGTATCTTTTTTGTTTTAAATCTGCAAATTGTGTTTATAAGGAAAAAGAAGATTGGTTGTGAGAAAAGCCAGGTGCTCTAGGGATGGCTTGAGGTTGTATGGTGGGTCCTACACCTGGGAAAGCTTAAATATTCTTATGCCTCAAAACATCAGGATCCATTTGTACTGCTCAGATATTTAGGTTGGTGATTTGGGAGGAGAGTTGGGTATGACTCTGCCCCAAAAGATGTCTTTTCCTGTCACCGTATACCATTGACCCCCTCCCTCTGTTGGTTATTGTTGCTCAGGAAACTCAGACCTGAGCCACGTGCGATAACAGGCACAGGGATATGTGCCACCACCCTCACCCTGGCCGAGAGTTGCTGGGTGTTTGGCTTTTTGGAGCCACGGCTCTGTCTCTCAAGATTACTCATACGTGTACCTTGCAGAACAGCTTTATAAACTTGCACTGAAAGGCATAGGAGTGAAAAAGTCAGAAAATATATTCCCTTTTAAAACAATAGTGGGGGGCTCGGCGCCTGTGGCTCAAGTGGCTAAGGTGCCAGCCACATACACCTAAGGTGGCAGGTTTGAATCCCCAGCCTGGCCTGCCAAACAACAATGATGGCTGCAACCAAAAAATGGCTAGGCGTTGTGGCGGGTGCCTGTAGTCCCAGCTACTTGGGAGGCTGAGGCAGGAGACTCGCTTGAGCCCAGGAGTTGGAGGTTGCTGTGAGCTGTGATGCCATGGCATTCTACCCAGAGGGATAGCTTGAGGCTCCGTCTCAAAAAAAAAAACAATAGTGGGGGGAAAATGTTGTGCCATAAGGAAAGCTGAGCACAAACTCTGGGGACAGGTAGGTTTCCTCATTTAGAGTCTTAGGACAAGGGGGAGGGAGTGATCATTGGTGAACACAATATTCTCCTTCCCTCAAAAATGCATCTGAGGCCAGCAGAGACCTTCCTGCTGCACAGGTAACAGAAACTCATCGTGCCACCAGGAGAGAGAAATTTTGGTTCCTGTGATTCTGCCCAGGTGTTTCCTGTCGATGGAAATGTTCTTGGAGGGCGGCATCTGAGCTCTGTTTTTTATTGCCTTTTTTTTTTTTTTTTTTGGTTTGTTCTGTTTGTTTTTGTTTTGTTTTCCACTTTTTACCTCCATCCTGTTTCCCAGGGAGCCCTGGAGGAGCAGCGGGCCCTGAATGGGGATGGTGCCTACAACGCACACTTTGGGGAGAGCATTGCCAGCCTGGAGGATCTTGACGATGATGGGTTCCCAGGTGAGCTCACTGGCTCCGTGCACAGGGAGCCTCTCTAGGTGTGGCACAGAGTCCCACTGTGGCGTACAGCCTGACTTCTCTGTCTGTCTCTAGAGCAGTGGTTCTCAATCTGTGGGCAAAATTACATTTATGAAGTAGCAATGCAAATAGTTTTATGGTTGGGGTCACCACAACATAAGGAACTGTAGTAAAGGGTCACAGCATTAGGAAGGTTGAGAACTACTGCTCTAGAGGCTCGGGCCTGGATCTATTGGCCCACTCTGATGGCCCATCAATGTGCTGTGGGGAGGGAGGACAACCTTTAGAGATGTTCTCTGTGTGGACACTCAGGGCTGAGCATTGGGCCCCCTGGAGTTTGGCTTCTGTATAATCCCTTCTCGTCAGCTCAGCATTCTTTGCTGTCTGCAGTGGAAACGAATGTTGGGGTGGTCCATTTGGTGTTTCTTATGGCAGAGAAGTTTGAATTAGCTTCCTCCTGCTACAAACTTTCTTTGGCTCTGAGCCTCTGATGCTTCACGATGCTCTACTATGTTGTTGGCATTTTCTACTATGTTGTTGTAGACATTTTCTCCTGTGATAATGGCAGTTGAGTTGACTTGTGAGTTTGTGTATGTAGAGGGGTGGGGGCACAGCCTCTTGGCTTTTCTCCCTGGCCTGTTTGATGCCTCTTCCCCTCACTGTACATGCTGTGGGCAGACACTGGGACTCAAGGAGCCACGGCACTAGGGTGTGTGTGTGGCAGGCACAGGTCTTGCCTACCCAGGAGCCAGGCTCCTCTGATGCCTCATGACATTGGCCACAGAGGGAGGGCTTCATTCAGAGAGGGGACCTCCAGCTCCAGGTCATGTGAGTGGTTGCTCCTCACCCTTGACCTCACTTCTGCAGACACATGACTTTTGTTACAAGCCAAGGGGAAAAAGTAAGGAAGATCTAGGCTTCCTTCCAGGAGATGTCAATTTGTGAGAATAATGTTGATTCTTTTTCAGTGAAGTGAATGCCATTTTATGCATTTCCTTTATCCAGGAATAGAGTCGAATTTCTCAGTTATACAGTAACCATTGTCTATGGAATTCCCCTCTCTGGCAGACAGACATTAGGGTGGGTAGCTTATAGTTGCGTTTCTTTGATTGGATTGGTCAGTAGTTTTTCTTATGAGGATGAGGCAATTTCTGTTATTAAACTCTTCTCGCCTTCTACAGTTATATTTCTACCTTTTTTTTTTCCTGCTAAGAGGTCGTGTGCCTAATTTAATGCTTGAGCAATCAGTAGCCAAGAATTTCTGGTATCCTGGGCCTCAGATAGGATAACTAGAATTAGGGAAGCCACACTTACATTATTCCATGTGACTTTTCTAACCTTTATTTCCCCCCTCAGATGTAGCCATTGGTGCACCCAAGGAGGACGACTTCGCCGGGGCAGTCTACATCTACCATGGTGATGCCAGTGGGATGGTCCCTCAGTACTCAATGGTAATTGCTGTGGGAGTGATACGTAACCGGTTGTTCCCACATTCACACAACGAGTACGTGTAGAACCTTCACTATGCACCATGTCTTGGCGGGTACAAAGGAAGATACAGCATTGTTCTTGTCTTCAGCCTCTCCACCCTTTAGTGAAAGACACAAGCAATTGATATTGCTAATTAAATACAAAAAAGTATTCTTAGAATCCTGAGAGGGCTCACTTTAGGGATGCATTCTGCCTAGAAAAGATAATATCCAAATCTCACCCAGAGTTAGAAGCTGTTTTTCTAAGAAGACAGAGGAAGATTTCTCTTATTCTTACTCCATTGTCTCCATCATGCTAAGCTAAGAAAATGAAAAATGTTTAAAAATATCATCTAGAGAGACAGTGGTGGATAGAGGAGGGGTCTGAAAGGTAGCAGCTGCTGTTGTTGCAACTGGCATCAAAACCAGCAGTTTGTCAAAGCCTGGGCCTTGTGCCCCAGACTTGGGAATGTGGAAGTGGTAAGTTCTAGTTTTTGCCCTATCAGCTTGGTGTTTGATTTTGCTGATGGTGTCAAGCCCAGCCCATGGGAAAAAAGGAAGTCACGCTCTTGACAGAAGCATCGTCAGGATATTTGCGGATGTCTGTGTGTGGAGTAGCCCTGGCTTGCATTGTTCTCCCAGTGGGTCAGTGACAGAAAGGGACTGAGCACACATTGAGACATTTCCAATTAACAAATACCTATTTATTGAATACTTTGCACTAACCAGATCCGACTCATGTTTATATGTGTCTATTCATATCTTAATTCTAAGAGGCAGTATGTAAACATAAGTACAACTTATACATTTATTATGATTGTTCTTCTTTCAGTAAATTTAAGGCAGCTAATTAAGGGTTGAAGATTCCTGTTGAGCTCAGCAACTCCACTGTAGGAGACAGGTGCTTAGGGAGGTGCTGGGGAGAGGAGGCCTGTTTGTTGAGTATCTGCCCTGCCCTTTTCTTGCCTTTAATCCTCACAATAACCATGTGACTTGCATATGTTTATCATTTGCCATTCATTAATCTATGAGGTGACTACGACCCACAGAAGTTACCTGAGTGGCAGTATGGCCATGGAAAATTTGCCAGTCTGATTGCTTGAAACTTTTACCATGAATCACCATCCTCATCTCCATGCTAGAAAAAAGGAACACTCAAGAAAGTTCATATTCTTTATGAATATGGAAACTTATTTTGCCATGAGGCCTACATACTCTAAGGAGTATTTATCTGGACTAGCTTTGGACTACTTATTAATATTTCTACTTTTCTTTAGAAATAAATAACAGTGACATTAACATACTCTTAAATGATTTAGCTGACATGGCAGGAGGAAGAGATCTTTGGGGACAGTTTGGGGGCCACATATGAATCACAAGAGCTTCCCTAGGCTTCCCAGTGTGACAAGGTAAAAGTCATCCAAGGAGCCCCATGCTCAGGCAGTGGTCAAGGTCATTCTCCACGCATCCTCCGGGAAGCTTGTTTTCCTGGACCTCGGAAGCTAATCACACAGAGAGGCAACCTGTGAGAGACCCCTGCTTCCCCTCCTCCAGGGCCCTCCAGTGTTTTGTTTTGTTGCTGGGTGGAATCCCTGCAGAGAGCCACAGTATAAGTCTGTGGTTAGTGTGGAGTGCCATTAGTAGGAAGCAGGGTGGCAGCTGGGCTGTCTTTGTCAGCACACATGCTGCCTTGTTAACTTTGATAAAGAGAAGCAGTTTGGGTCTCTTAAAAAAAAAAGAAAGAAGGAAACAACTATGATTACACTTTTCTGAGCTGTTAATATATATATGATAAGGTTAGTGATTTAAAAGGAAAAAAAATCCTTTAATGACAGAGTCTTCCAGGCTTAGGTCCTAGACAGAGCTGGCATTGTGTGGGTGAACTAGAGGAAGAAATCAGAAACAACTCTGGGCAATGGAATCACTTTTCTTTGGCCCAGATTGGTATTATTTCTGCTGGGTAAATTGTGAGATCAGTGCCGAACTTCCATATTCCTCTTTAACTCATTCCTCTTCCCCTAGTTTACCATGGAAAGTGTTGATTTTAAGATCCTTGTGTGCCTTTCTCAATTTGAAAGCCCTCTGGGCATGTGAGGGCGGCTCCTGTGATCTTTCTTCTGCCATAAGGGACATTGCATATAAACCTGGTCAAGCGGAGGTTTTCCAAGGCTCCTGGTTTTCATTTAGGGTTATTAGCACCGAGCAGACTTATCTTCCTGGCTTTATAGCATAATGGCCTGCAGATGTCTGTGGAATAACTTAAGCCTGGATCACCACCCCCAGATGGACCACCCCTTCTCTCTCCTCCTTGTCTCAGCCACAGCAGACCTTAGAAATGCAGACCCAGGGCAAGCTGCTGCTACAGTTCTTGGACTTCAGAGCTGAGATGGTCTGCTTAAAGCATGGTTCTTAAGAAATATGCAGACACACATATATGTTTGTTTAGACAGAGCCATGTGGAAGGTGGTGCTTTGCCTGTTAGCAAGAAACATTTCTCCAGTGTTTCCTACAGTGTTCTGATTTGTACTTTGATGGTTTCACATTTCCTGTTGGATGGCTTAACTGAAGATGGCAGGCGGCCCTCTCTGATCACTTCTGGAAGGGTTAGTTGCAATTATCAGCTGCTGGGGGCAGGGACATCCTTGGCGTCTCCATTTGTAGATCCTGTGGAAACTCCCCCTGCCTGCCCTCGTGACTTCTCTACAGGATGACTCAGTAAGGAAAGGGATAAGGAAAGTCAGAGTAAGCCCCTGGATATGTGTAAACTTCATTCTGATACAAGACATGAAAATAAAGCATTTCTCTCGTCTTCCTCAGTGAGGGCATTGGGAGGTATAAGCTTCCCCAAGGAGACTCTGCAGATCAAGGGAGAAGGAGCAGGCTAGATCCCAGAAGATGGAGCTTTTCTGATTCAGAAAGTTCAGCATCTTTGTGAGAAACTGTGCCACAGGAATGTCAATGCACAGCTTCAGTGTGAAGAAGACTATTTGTACAGCAAATATTCCTTTTTTTTTTTTTTTGAAGAGACAGAGTCTCACTTTGTCACCCTCGGTAGAGGAGTACTATGGCATCATAGCCCAAAGCAACCTCCATCACTTGGGCTTAGGCAGTTCTCTTGTCTCAGCCTCCGAGTAGCTGGGACCACAGATGCCCGCCACAACGCTCAGCTATTTTTTTGTTGCAGTTTGGCCAGGGCTGGTATATGAGGTCGGCGACCTACTCACTGAGCTACAGGCATGGCCCACAACAAATATTCTTGAACCAACACTCCTGTGTTGACATGTGAGAAACTTAATAATGAATAAATAGTATGCATGGCTGGGTACATACCTTTAGTCCTAGCTACTCAGGAGGCTGAGGAGGGAAGATCACTTGAATTCTAGTCCAGCTTAGGCAGCATAACAAGACCCCACCTATACATTTTTTTAAAAAAAATGTTAAAATGTATGTATACACACAGAGTATATACAGTCAAACCTAGTAAGTTGACCACCCAAGGAACTGTAACAAACTGGTCAACATATGGGGTTGGTCAATATGAAGAAGTAGGTCTACTGTTCTGATATGTACATGTGGTGCATGTCCAGTCTATGAAAATTAGGCCAACTTGAGGTGGTCACTATAGGGAGGTGGTCAGCTATAAACACAGTGTGCAGTTTACTTTGGTCACAATAAACACAGATGCTAGTGTGTCCATCAAATATAGCAGTGTTGGGTATTGTGGTTGGTTGAGGACTGCCTTTTGGGGGCGTGCAGCTTTCCTATAATTTATAGACGGTTCAGAGCCACCAAGTTCCAGATTTACTAGTTTAAACTGTTTAATCCTGTCTGTGAAGCTTGGGAGTCTATAGATCTTCTAGTTGGCTGGATGGAGAGATCATTTCCATGTGACCATCTTTTCTATCTAGACATGTTAATTATCTGTCTCTCCAGGGAAAGATTCTTTAATGTGTTCCTCTTAGGAATGGGGTGCTAGGCTTGGTGCCTGTGGCTCAAGTGGCTAAGGCACCAGCCACATACACCCAAGGTGGCAGGTTTGAATCCAGCCTGGGCCCGCCAAACAACAATGATGGCTGCAACCAAAAAATAGCTGGGCGTTGTGACGGGTGCCTGTGGTCCGAGCTACTTGGGAGGCTGAGGCAGGAGACTCACTTGAGCCCAGGAGTTGGAGGTTGCTGTGAGCTATGATGCCACAGCACTCTACCCAGGTGAAAGCTTGAGGCTCTGTCTCAAAAAAAAAAAAAAAAAAAAGGAATGGTGTGCTAAATACTTAATATGTATTTGGATAGAGAGATATAAGATAAATACATTCTTAGAATTTTAGCCAGCTACACCTGTATAAAAACAAAATAGAATCTCTATTAGGAATGAAAGTTAAACTTTATCCATTTTGAACTTCAACATGTCAAAACATTAACATATTCGTTTAGGTGGATTTTTCATTAGTATTGAACTTAGAGGAGAAGTTTTGAATGATGACATTTGGCAAAGCAAACAATAACAAAGGCGTGTGTATTCAACAGCCTGCTAAAGACTCCCCGATCAAATTAGGATTGATCATTTCTGTCTTTCAACAGCTTTAAGACCAAATGTTCCAGGGAAGCTGGAATGAAATAGCACAGTTCTTATTTGTGACTGTGGTCCTTTCTGGTAACTTCATTTCCCTATTTGTTTCAGAAACTATCTGGGCGGAAGATAAATCCAGTTCTGCGGATGTTTGGCCAGTCCATATCAGGAGGCATTGATATGGATGGAAATGGCTATCCTGGTAAGCTGTTTTTCTTTCGAGGTACACGAGATAAATGAAGATAAATGCAGGAGGTAGGATAATTTCCAGTCTGGTTAGCAATCACTATAGCCATTTAGGATTAGGAAAATTTGTACAACAGAATACAGTGTTTTGCCTGGTATTTGATTTTAAGGTGAAAATACTGTGGAAGTTTATTTTGGAGTTTTAAAATGATCTAGTCTGAATGGTTCAAGCACCAAGAGGGTGGATTTTTTTTTTTTAGTAATTTCTGTGGTAGCATTTTTTTTCTAATGAAGAAAGAAACCACTGTCCATGTTTAAAATGATAGATAGCAAAACTGCGTGTTTTTCTTGACATTTAACCATATTTAGAGGCTTCTTACTCTTGAGAGGGAAAAGGAATGGCATCTTCCCTGCCCCTAGCCCCACTCTTGGAAGAACATTATTGAGAAAGATTTTCAGCAAGCAGAAAACCATGTCCTTCTTACTCACAGACAAAACAGACCTACACCAGTCAAGGCTGGCTGGCTTGTCTTCAGGGTTATTAGTGCCCTGTGGAGACAGAGGCTAATTGAGTAAAAATATATGATTTCAAACCCCAATCCCAAGTGATATCAGGTTTAGGTCAAATTGACTGGGTGGTGGAATAGTGGTTCTTTGGGTGTTTGAAGATGGAGTAGAATAAGATATGGAAAAAAAAGATAAGAATCTGAAAAAATCCAGAATCATTATGGAATTCAGAAAACATTTTCCTGAATGTACAATTATTTTGCTTCTGAGAAAATATTTCTTTCCACTTAAAATCTTTTTTTTTTTTTTTGAGACAGTCTCACTATGTTACCCTTGGTAGAGTGCAGTGGCCTCACAGCTCACAGCAATCTCAAACTCTAGGGCTTAAGCAATTCTCCTGCCTCAGCCTCTCAAGTAGCTGGGACTACAGACTCCCACCACAATGCCTGGCTATTTTCTTATTGCAGTTGTCATTGTTGTTTAGCTGGCCCAGGCTGGGCTCGAACCTACCACCCTTGGTGCATGTGGCTGGTGCCATAACCACTCTGCTATGGGCACCGAGACTCCACTTAAAATCTTAAAAAACTAAGACAACCCTGTTTGAGGACACCAAGTTTTGTGGTTTCATACAGACAAGAATTTTGAACATTCCTTAAGACTTCACAGAGCTAGGAGTAGAAGTGGAATTGAGAGGGGTCAGTGTTGATGCTTTTGTCCCCAGATAGATTCTCATGGGTCTTTTTAAGTTTGAGAAAGCAGTCCTCCTTGTTCTGGGCCATTAGTGGCCGTCCTCAAGTAATTACTTATATGGGTTTAGCACTTTAATGTATGCAAAATGCTTCCATATGCAACGTACAGCTCACAGCGACCCCAGTATTTGGATAGGGATGGGGTTTTCCTCCATTTTATAGATGAAGATGCTGAGCCTTAGAGAGGGTCAGGGACTGGCCAGAGTTTGCAGTGTGGATGGGGACACAGGCTTCCCAGTGGTTCAGCTGCTTCTCTGTAAATGCATGGTGAGCTGGGTGCTTACATTTCACGTTTCTGAATTTTTTACCTTGCATTCTTCTTTAGAGAAATGACAAATTCATTAGGTTCTTTTGATTTCAAACATCCAGTTAATGAAAAAAGACTATTGAAGACTTTAAAGTCTAAAAAGACTATTTGAAGTTTACAAAATTAGTAAACACACCAAAGTGTGGGAATTTTAGGAATGCTATAATTCATGGATTTGCTACTTATTTTTCCATAAGGAGGGCACTGCATAGATGCTCTAGCCATTTAGTGACATATAGATTCAGACTCCCCTGGACTCAGGTGCTTGGTGCTGTACATTCCAAATTGTATATAAAATCAGCACATTGTACCCCATAAATGCATTAATGTACACAGTTATGATTTAATAAAAAAAAATTGTTAAGAGAAAAAAAAAAACAAAAAAAACCTCCCCAGCTAAGGTGTTGATATTAGGGGGAAAAAAGATAGCTTACTGGATGAATAAATATGTCCTAAATTAAAGTCATTTAGGAAAAAACATTACTGGGTAAATAAGTGTCTTTGTTTACTAAGTATTTTCATGAGTTTTCTGATTTAAATATATTATATGCATTTAATAAATATTAAAATATTCAATATTTTGTTCAATGAGTAATAAATATTAATGAATAATAAATATTTTATGATTTAAATATTATGAAATATTGGCAACTTTTAAAGAAGGTTTTAGGGATAGTTATCTCCATTGTACAGAGTAGGACACTGTAAGATACTCTGAGGTCATATAGAATGATGGCTGGAGGTGATTTCATGAAGCTAGCGCATTTTCCATGAGTCATTTAATTCTAGGTATCTCTCTCTCTAATTCATTGATGTCAATATATATATGATCTGAGCTACTTACAAAGGTCTGACAATTAAGTTCATGATGTCATCCTAGAAAAAGTGCTATACACCTCATTGCTAAATATCTCTGCAGTCACCTTCAAAGTACTCCCCTTGAGAAGCTGTGTACTCACACCAACACCTAGTCCACCCTTCAAAGCAATTTTGGAACTCTTCTTCTGGGATGGCTATTAGAGCTGTCATCATAGGAGATCTGACAATTAAATTTGAGAACTTACCACTGTGCGCTTACGTTGGCAGCACTGTACAAACAACTTGGTAAGGTTTCAGAGCCTTGGTATATCAGCGTCTCACAGCTGTGTTCATGTTGACATGTGGCATTGTCTTGTGGTGTATGTTATTGTCACTACATGTTTTTGTGTACCATACAATAATAGTTCTGATGGCAATTCCAAAAAAGAGTTCTAAAATTGCTTTGAAGGGTAGACTAGGCACTGCCACTGGTGCATAGCTTCCCAAAGGAAGTATTTCAAAGATGACCATACTGATATTCAGCAGTGAAGTATATAGCACTTTTTTGAGGACAAATTCACAAACTTAATTGTCATATCTTGTATATAATTTAAAATATACTAGTAACCACATAAAAAAATAAGAAACAAGTGAAGTTAATTTTAATACTGTTTTATTTAACTCAGTGTAGGCAATATATTATCATTTCTACATATAATCTATATAAAAATTATTAATGAGATAGTTAATGGTTTTCTGTACTAGGTCTTTGAAATCTGGTATATATTTTATACTTACAGCATATCTCAAGACCAGCCATATTTTCAAGGCCAATAATGGTGATTGGCTGCCCTATGAGACAGTGTGGTTCTGATTTTTACAAAACCAATTCATAGCCTAGACAGTGGCACCAGAGGGCTCTCTGACCTCAAGGCCTACTCTCCATTGCTATAGACCACCTTGCAGGGACTGCGGGGGTGGTTGGGCAGTTTTCAACAGGTTTCTGAACACTATGAACTTCTTGTTTTTAGATGTCACTATTGGAGCCTTCATGTCTGACAGTGTGGTTCTTCTCAGGTGAGTTGCCTCACTCTTATTGCGTAGGTTTGGTTCTTCAGGGGTGAGGGATGGAATTTGGTAGGGGAGGCACCCAGGGAGTTGCTCACCTTTAGTCAGTGTTTTCCTCTGTTCTGTTCCTTGCTGATGGAGGTGCTTAGTAAAAGGGAATACTACCTTTATCTTCTCATTTCTTATCATCTATCCCAGAACTTCCAGCTGGTGTGAGATGATGGCATCCCTGGAGCTTCTAGGCACAGCTCAAGGTGGTCTAGTTCCTAAGCCCATAGATAGCCCATTTGTTCATGTGCCATACAACCATCATCATATTCTACAGGTACCATAGCACTCAAAGGGGCTGTCCATCCTATCTCTCCATTCTTATACCCTGAATCCTAATCTCCTCAACCCCCTGGAGACCAGAAGCCTGCTGCCTACTGGACACATGTCACTCTCTGTTGGCAGCAGAGGCAAGGGATGTGAGCATAAGCCCAGAGCTTGCTGAAGCTCGTGCAGTCTGGACCTCTCCTACAAAGGCCAGTGGGCTGCCATCACCACCCACGAATCCTTTCCAAGTATTTCTAGCAGTATGAGTCACAGGAGACAGAATTACACTTTGGAGTGAGAGCCAACTCTTAGGTTTTGTTAATAACCCGATGGCAGAACTTTCTAAAATAGACTAGTAGGATCTTAGGGTTGGAAGGGATCCCAGAGGCCATGTAGTTCCACACCCCAGATTCTTCTTAATTCAGCAGTGCCTTCTTCTGAGTCTCCACTGCTGGATTACATAGCCTCTTTTTGAATGAAGTGCCCCATGAATACGGGTTTAGTAACATGTAAGGGACCCAACTAACCTCCAGGTAATGCTAAATATTGAATTATTAAAGAGGCAGTATAGGCTTGAGGTTGAATGTGAACTCTGGGGCCAAGTTGCCTGGGTTCAAACTCTGACTCTGCTCTTTCTAGGTTAGATGAATTTCCTGGGCAAATTTTGTGCCCTTTCTGTTTCAGGATTCTTTTCTGTTAATGGAGACAATAATACAGATGCTCCTCTGCTTATGACGGAGCTGGCTTAGTAGCCTAACTGCATTACCAGGTGTGCAGGCTATTTATTGTGACCCTGTCTTTTCCCTGAAAGCAGCACTAATCCTGCAAAAGGCCAGGACAACTTGAGCAACATCATGTCAAAGGGCATCCCAACCGTTTTATTATTTACCTGGAAATGAAGTATCAGGATTTGCGCTATGAGCCATTGTAAAGAAGTGTTCCAGATACAGCTTCTTTTTAAAAAGTTTGGATAGTACTTGCAGAGCTGCCCTTGGGTGCCCCTTTGCTTTTATCTCAGTGGCTGGCACATTTGCAGGGACTGAGAAATGTAGTCTCCCTGGCCCCAGAAGTGTGGGCAGGCCCTGGCTCTGCCCTTAGGAAGTTTGCTTCTCTCGGATTAGCTCTGGGGCAGGTCCTGTGTTGGGGTGATAGGCGCCTGGTGCTGTGCCATTGGAGGTCACAGGAAGTGATCAGAGAGGCCTATGAAAGATTTCTGAGCTTTTCTTCTTCCAAAAACAATACTTGGAGTTGAAATTAAAAGGTCTGAGGGAACTGATTTGACAGATGTTGGAAGAAGATGTACCTGTGAGGTCCCTGAGGGCCATTTCAAAGGATTCTGTTTTCACAATCTCCAGGTCATTCTGCCTGGCCTTTCCCCTCCTGTTTCCTGCTCTCTTCACCATCTTCTGCAGAGCTGTCCTGTGAGAGGAGGACTCAGCTTCCTCCTTGATAAGGTGGCCTCTGGGTATGATGGGACAGGCTGGACTTTGCCTCTGTAGGGTGACCAGGCAGGTGAGGAACTGGGCAGGGTGGACATGGGCTCTCCCTGGTGCCTCTGTCCATTTGTGAAACTTTCAGCATTCCTGTGGTTCTCAGTCCTCTGGCTTGGAATAAATTTGCAAGTATTTAAGCAGGGTTTTTGCATATCCCTTATCCTGGAAACAAGAGGATGATTTTTCTGGGATCTTACCTAGCTTTGGGGGTGCTTCATGCTGGCAGGGAAGACTTGGAAATTGTGACAATTCACTATAGTAAGTGGGGGCCAGAGGTATGTGTACTGAGGTGGGACCACAGAGAGGAAGGATGCCCAGATGCCAGGGGTGTTAGGGGAGGACTCCTGGGGGTGGGGCCCTCTAGCTGGCTGTGAGGAGCCGACAGAACTATAGAGTATCTACTGGCATCTGTACAAGCACATTGGTTGGGATAAACTATTTGCTTTCTAAGTTACTTCTAGCATCATCTGAGGGTGAACCCAAAAGAAAAAGGAAAGACCAGCATGTTGGATTTCTTTCGGGCAACACTGTTTGGCTTCTGTTTTCTCCTACAGCTGGATTTTGCTCTTTGAGTCCCACAACTCCATTGCACCTATCACCACTGCCCTTCTGTCGACCCATCTCCCAGCAGTGTGGCAGCAGTAGAGTCCCCTCACCCCATCTGGGCTGTGTGTGCCCTTACTTCCTTTTGTCACTCAGGTTTTTCTTAATGCTTTTTTCTCCTGGAGCTGGTGTCAGTCATTCCCATCCCGCCTGTCACTCTGGGCTTCCTTTGAGGAAGCATCTCACAAGTGAAGTCATTGTTTTCAAGCCACTAATGCACCCTAATCTTGTTATGTCACCCCAGCAGCGTGCAGGCCAGGGCTCCACAGGGGTAAAAGGGCCTCTTTGTGAGGCCTGGAGGGGAGAAGGTTAAGCTACAGCTTAGGTACAGCAGATGTGTGCAGTGAGAGCAGAATGGTGTGATTCACTCTCAGCTTTTGTTGGACAACTCCCCCCTCCCTGGGAAGCCCTCAGATGCTATCCATCCATCCATGGGGGATGGTCCATGTCCGGGAGGAGAGTGTGGATGTTCATCAGGTTTCATTTGGCCCTGAGACCAGGAGGGTGGATTGCTTCTGCTCTGGAGTACTTTGCTGTTACCAGCTGGGACTCCATTAATCAAGTTCTTTTAGAAAAATACTGATGAACTGATGGGGCTAAGTGAAGGAGGAAATTTGCTTGACTGGATGGGCCTGAAACTTTGCAGCTCATGTTTATAATGGTAATAGATGCTTTTGGAGGAATCCCTGCATATACTTCTATTTCTTGAGTCATGGCGTCACTGTAAGAATTCCTCTTAGATATATCCTTATCTTCCTAATAGAATGGAAATCGGTACTTAATTGGTAAAATTTTAAATAATCACTCAGCATCTGCTATTCCTTTTGTGACTTTAACCAGATGTGTTTTATTGACAACTAATTTTCCCTGACTACTGGGGAGCTAACAATTAATTTCTTAGGCAATATGCCAGAAAAAGTACTTACAGAACACATTGGTCTTTCTCTCTTGAGTTCTTTCATACTTAAAATAAAGGCGGAGTTGAAGGCCTAGGATTTATCCTTGATCTATCCTATTGGTATAGTTCTTGTTTGGTTCTGAGAACTGTTCCTTACCACCACTAAGTGACTTTCCCCTCTTGTCCTGCAGAGCAAGACCCGTCATTACAGTGGACATCTCCATCTTCCTACCAGGCTCCATCAACATCACGGCGCCTCAGTGTCATGATGGACAGCAGCCTGTGAACTGCCTGAATGTCACCACCTGCTTTAGTTTCCATGGCAAACACGTTCCTGGAGAAATTGGTAATGATCCCAGGACAGCCATCTTAGCTGGAGTGGGTTTGCATGGAGGATGTTTCAGACATTCCCCATTGCTGAGCATCCTGGTTGGTTTTGCAGGCAGTAGGTCCACTGGCTGGACACCCTTTCCCATCCTTTCTCTTTCCTGTTTATGGATAATGTTCCTAATTTCTTACAACCTCCAGCTCTAGGACAAATAACCTTGGACATCAAACATCCTTTTTCCAGACTGAGGTGTCCATGGACCATGAGTGGGACAGGCCTGTGTGGGATTGGTGGAAATATAATGCCTGGAGCCTGGCTCTTATTAAACATTCTGAGCAGTTAGAAAACAGAAATGACAGGATTTTGGAGGCTCCTGATTGAGTGTGCAGCATCAGCCAGATGTCAGGAAGGGTTATACCATTTACTGTGGAAATGGAGACCAAAGATGGATGGTGGGATTGGGATGCTGGTTTTACAAAGGCTTAGGTTTCTAAAAGAGGAAGTCTGCTTCGAGAATTGAAAAGAGGCAGGTGTCACCCTGATAGTTGAAATGTCCCTGCCATTGCTTTGATGGAGGATAATCAACTTGCTAGCTCGCTCCAGACACTGGACCCTGAGAACAAGAAAGGATCACTGTTGATTGGAATTCAGAGGATGTGATCACCTGAAGGAAATGAATCTGGAGCATTACACAGATTAATAGGTGCTTTGTTTTAACTTAAAAGTCTGATTTAATAATAGAAAGTAAAATTCCAGGCCAACAAAAAACCCCAAGACAAGTGTGGACTTGCTGACTTTCTTAGATATTTTCAATGTCATAAGTGATGCCCCTCGCTACTCCTCAGCATCCCTGGTAGCTTGTTTGAGATGCAGACTCTCAGGCCTCCATCAATTGATACATGATCCCCACTGGATTCAGGTGCATATTGGAAACATGCAGAAACACACTTCCACAAGCTAGTTCATGCTTTAACTGCACCTTGAATGTCCTCCCTTATTCAATCATGTGTTCATCCTTCTCAGCTGTCTCATTGGCGCTTTATCTTGATCTTCAAGTGGATTGAATATGCTCAGTGATTAAACTTTGTACTTATTTATGTAGTTTTTTTGTCTTTTGAGATCTTAGGAATTTCAATATTGAATGCAATTGTATGATGAAACTTGGGAACTGGTTAGTATGTAGTTTTTTTGTGTGTATCCCAGTGGGAAAAAGAAACTCATTCAAGTTCATACCCAGCTATTGGTGAAGCCAGGAGTTGGATCCAAATTCGATGATATTTTAGTTCTGCTAATGCTCACCAATTCCCTAATTGTTTAAGATGCCATAATCTTAAGGAAAAAAGCTTTCTGGTGGTCCTGGGACTTGTGTGTCCTCCATCAAATACTACCTCATCGTATAGCTGGACTCCATTAAAAACATTTAAAAAAAATGTTTGAAGATCAATTTTGATGCACATGAAAATAAGCAGAACTATTATAGAACCCTACCAGAAGCAAGAAATTATGAGTTCATGTGTGTATGCATTTGAGAAAGATTTTCTTGTGTGTCCACATGTGTCAGGCACTAGAGATGACAGTCCTGTGTGTATGGAGCCTCTATAGGGAAATACAGAGTTTCTACTATTCTGATCTTGAAGCAGTGGACTACTTTCAAACTCTGTATCACTGTTGTGGTGAAAATGAGGATCAATTGATATAGCGGGAACAGAGGAGAGGAAACCAAGATGCACATCCAAGCAGGAGTGATTTTTGAACAGGAGACAAGCAATAGAGCATGTTCTGTTGAAGGCTTGTGGGCTGAGCGAGGTGGAGATGTGACAGCCTCCTCGTGCCTTTCCCAACCAGCAGCCCTTTCTGACGCCTGTCAGGCCTTTCATGGACTACCAGGCAGGAATATAATGCAAGTCTAGGCTTAGCCGTGGCCTTGGAGGTAAGGTGGAAGAGACGGGTAATCATAAGACTTGTACTGTACCTTGTGGGCAGTACGAGGCAACATGGCTAATATCCAGCTTCAGGTGGGGACCGTCCCACACTTTGCACCCCCATTCAGGCCTCTTCCTTAGCCTCTATCTGCCGCATGGGTTTGCAGATGAAATTCCATATCCCTTTACACTCTGAGGGGATGTTTGCCCACATTTATTTAAAATTCAGGTTAAAGGAGATGGAGAATTGGAATGCAGAATTTTTGGATGCAGAACCCCCCCCATTTCATAGCAATATTTAATAATAAATGCTTGACCAACAGATAATTTTAAAGTTGTACAATAAATTTTTAAAAATTTTCTGATTTTTCCTCTTTAACAGAAGAAAAAACATGAACTGAAGAATTAACAATAGAAAGTTAATAATTATTAACTATAACTTAATAATATTTATAATTAATAATTATTAACTTTCTATGTTAATTCGTCAGTTCATGATTCTGTTTTAATAATAGAAAGTTAATGGGCGGCACCTGGGGCTCAGAGGATTAGGGGGCTGGCCCCATGTGCTGGAGGTGGCAGGTTCAAACTCAGCCCTGGCCAAAAACTGTAAAGAAAGAAAAAAAGAAAAGAAAGTTAATAATTTCAGAAAAAAAGGCACATCCAGGCAAAATAGTCAAGGTTATTTGTAAAATGCAGTGTTACAATTCTACTGTGAATAATGAATTGACTACAAATAAATTACTCTGAAAAATTTTTCAATATGACAGGAATATTCTGAAAAGCCAGGAAACATCATGTCTTTGCTAGAGTATTATTCTGTTCCTAAGGAATAAGGCTTCAATGACTGTGTAATTGGAAGAGCTCACTTCTCACCAAGTTGCCCTTCCCAAGGTGGAACTGCAGAATTTTGGTATCAACAGGGTAATGCGGAAGATTATTCATCCCTGGCATTTTCCTGCCACTTTCTCTGGCATTCAGGGAAGTGAACTACATCTCAATCTTCTCAGTAGAGGGAGAAATGCAGAAATCTGTGCAAAAATGAAGTGGCAGTGGAATGGAGAGTTTGGGGTGGGGAATGATGGGCCTGTGATGGGAAATGAGGTGACGGTCAAGGCAGCTTGTCTGTAGCTGCGGGTCCAGCAGGTGTGGCAGTGGGTGAGGTGTTCCTGGAATTCAGCTTAGAAGGCAGCCCCTGCACTCTGTGTTGTTGGGAAGATCAGGTCTCCAGTCTCCAGATGGAGGAAGGATGGGGCACCTGCAGGGCACAGACATCCTCCTCTGCTCTTCTCCAGGTCAGCAGAGGGTACTGGTTGGCTCGGTGTCATCTCCCAGGTGTTTGCATCAGGAGCCTGCGCCTGAGACTCTGGGTTACAAACCTTCCTTACTCCCTTGCTCGTGGCTGCAGAGGAACCCCATTGATGGTGGCTTTGTCCACAGAATGAACAATGAATCAGTGCCAGCCCTGGGCAGGCCTTCTGGGCACTTCTCAATGTCTGCATAGCCTGAGCTGAGTTTGTCAGCAGGATAGCATGGGCCTGCAGCCCGGGCCCTTAGTGTGCTAGGCACTTCTCTGCAGCTGTCAGAAGGGGGGTCTATTTTCTGGCATCTTTAGCCACATGACTCCCTCTCTGAGGATGGTTTTGGGAGCCATATGCAGTCGCTATTAAAGCCTTGTCCTTTAGTTTCTTTGTCTCTACTTGATAGGGCTTGAGCACATGTACCAAGAAGGGACACCAATCACCTCTTTATTCCCTGCTTTAGTGAAACCATAGCTCCTACTTGATCAGGGCAGTGTTCAGGGCCAGCTGATGAGCAAAGCCACCAAAGGTGCTACTATAGCTTCTGGAAATACTGTGGAAAATACTTTCGCTGTAGGGGGTAATTCTGCCTTTGCCTCTTAAACAGGCAGAGTCCAATTAGGAAAACAGACCACACTAGTTATTTCAACAAAGGGAATTTAACCTTGAGAATTAGAGTGCAAGTCATAGAGGACCTAGGTCTGTACCAGTGGATACCAAAGTGTAGTACCAGACTAGCTGGATCAGTATCACCTGAGATCTTGTTAGAAATGCATATTCTAACTGAATCAGAAACTCTGAGGGTGGGGCCAGCAACTGTGTTTTAACAGTGTCCAGGTGGCTTAGATTTGAGAGCCACTGGTCAAGGTTATACATGTAGTTGGGGTTTACCACTTCCTCGGGGTTATCAGAGCCTGTAAGCTTAGAGAAGAGACCCTGTGGAGCTGGGGCCTAGACCTCTGAGAAAGGGTGCTGGCTGGTGCTACTGGTCTCCCTGAAAGTGGATGGTGAGCCTGGCTCTGGGGTTATTGGGAGAAGCTGGAAACTAGAATTCACTGCTGTTGGGACCAGGTGCCGTGAAACACTGTTGCTGGGTTAGGCTGCTAGGAATAGGAAGTGCGCAGGAAGGACTCCCTTCTCCCTCTGCAGGCTCACTCAAGCTCTCTGCCCGCAGAGCCTCACAGTGAGCCCCTGGCCAGATAGAAATGAGGTTTGCAGCATCCCAGCTCCAGCATCATGGTGCAGAGCAGGGAAGGGTGGGCTGGAAGTGAGAACAGCTTCATAAACCAGCACAGCAAGTATCTATCGAGTTCCTGAAGCCCTAATTGGTCATTCCATCAACAATAATTAACGTCTTTCAGAGTGCCAGGCACTCTGCTCAAGTCTGGGGACAGAGCAGTGAACAGGACGGGCAAAGGCCTTGGCTTCAGGGTGCTTCCATCCTGGTGGGCAGGAGGGAAGCAGGCACTCAGCACAGAAGCGGCTGCTGCTCCCACGCTTTGTCCTCCCGACGCACCTCACTCAGCCCATGGATGGCGGCACCGTGCTCAGTGTGCGAATGCTAACACAGACTTCTCACTCTGCTGGTGGGCTCCCCCAAGAACTGGTGTATAACATATTTTATTAAAGCAGGAGTCCTGCCCGTCCCAAATAGTATTAACCATTTCGCTCTTGGCCTGGGGAGCAGCCTGTGGCAGAGTGCTCTGCTCCTAAACCATGGGCTATATTTGGATCTAATCACTGGCCAGGCTGATGTGTAAACTTGCTTGGTCCTCTCTGGAGGCAGGGAATCGAGCTGGCAATTCTGCACTCTCACCAGAGTACTGAACAACCAGGAAGGGGTGATCCCTAGGTGGTTGAGTTTTGCACTCTAATCCAGGGCCCCTGTATGTCCAGACCTCTCAGACAGCCCAGCAAAGCTGTGAATAAGCAGAGGTGACTACTCTGTCTCCAGAAAAGCAGTTGAGCCCACATCCTGAGAGGTGGCACTAAGGTTATCCATATTATAGCAAAAATAGTGTTGAAACCAGGTGACCTGTCTCCAGATCTTTCTTCTGGCATTAAGGTTGCATTTATGCTCTGGAGAGAGTTTGTACAGAGAGAACATGCTCTGAGCTCCTCCTGGTCTCTCAAGAAGCATGGAGATGGGGCGATGAGGCAAGTCCATGTGATGTGAGGAATGGGTAACCTAGTCTAATAATTACAACTTCATTCCTTGGGGTAGGGATCTAGGAAAGCTAATGAAGTGGAAATATCCTTCCTCACCCCCTCCTCTTCCTGGAAAACTCTAAAGCAATGGTTCTCAACCTCAAATGCCACGGCCCTTTAATGTAGTTCCTGTGGGTTGTGACCCACAGGTTGAGAACCGCTGCTCTAAAGGAAGCTTAGAGTAACTCTGGAAGGAGAATTTATTAGTAGGATTTCACAGCTGAAATCTTGTTCTGTTGGAGAATGAGAATGAATCGAAAGTTGCTGGGAGGGACCAGAGCCAGGGTTGATGAGAGACAGCTGGCTCTTTCCTGGCCCGGGCCTGTGGGGGAGTGGGCCCTGGGGAACCGCTGGGGGGCAGGGGAGGGGGGTGGCTGAAAGTCTTACTCCGGGCTGATCAGCTTTTCCATCAACATGACATCATTCGACATGGCATGGACACAAGCTGCCAGAAGGAAACACTTGAAGATGTGAAATGTGCTGTTGGGGGAGGCCCTAATCAGAACCAGCACCCTCCCTGGTCTGACGGCACTGGCTGGCTGGCTTGCATTAGGGGCGGCTGCGGGCAACCCTCCCAGGGCCTGGACCACTGAACCCAGCGAGCCAACTTGCTGCTTTGCTGACATGTCGTCCGCTTCTTAGGGGCTCCCTTCCAGCACTCTTGGGTGGGTGCAGTTTAAAACTACTAGTTGTGCTCAGGGCTTCAGAATGGTCTGCATTTCTTCCTATCTACTCACGCAGGCAGGGTTTCTTATAACAAATCTTGCTTTCTTCTAAAAGAGAGAGTCTGATACAGAGTTGACCTCTTTGTGGGTAAAATTTCGAAATACATTTTAGATCAAGGAGAAGCACTTAGTAGGCAGCTCTAGAGATGAAATGCTTCCCAAATGCTTGTGCTTGGTGAATTGAGTAAGTCAGCATGTCTGTGACTATGCACTATAAAGTTTTAGAGAAACTAAAAGGTGAACATGCTGGCATGCTCACAGTCTGCGTGGAGGGGGGTTGTCCTCAGCTGGTGGGCTATTTTTCCCCTCCCTGGAGCTATAAGAGGGACATATATTGATTGGGTCAGTGATTCTTTAGTGAGATGGAAATTTGGAGGAACAAAGTTGGTGTTTGTAAAGTACTTAGCATAGCGCTTGGCACATGTCGAAGGTTGAATTAATTCCTTTTCCCTCGACTTGCCCTGTGTTAATTTGGGCTCTTCCCAAAACAGAGCCTGAATGAGGGATCTGGGCACACATTATTGATTCAAGGGTGACCCCGGGAACACCTGGAGGGAAAAGGCGTATTGAGACAGGCAGGGAAGGCAGCTGGAGTAGTCAGGGTTCTCCAGAGAAACAGAACCCAGAGAGAGGTGGGGTTGAGATTGAGATTAGTTGCTGGGTTTTCAGGAATTGGCTCATGAGATTGTGGGGGCTGACAAATCTGAATTCTGCAAGGCAGGCCAGTAGGCTGGAGATCTAGAGAGCTGATGTTGCAGCTCCAGGGTAAAGGCACCTAAAAGCAGAATTCCTTCTTGTTTGTGTGTGTATTCTTTTTTTTTTCCCCGATTAATATGTGGGTACATATGATTAAGTTATATTGTTTGTGCTTGTAAGGTAAAGTCAAACAGTTGGGTCCTTCACCCAAGTGTGCCATCTACCCTACATTAGGTGGGAACTTACTGAACCCCCTCCTGCCAGAATTCTTTCTTTTTGGATGGAACCCTTAGCCTTTTACTCTTAACGCCTCCAACTGATTGAATGAGTCTCCCCCATGTTATGGAGGGTAATCTGCTTTATTCAAAGTCTATTGATTGAAATGTTTTCATTTAAAAATGCCCTCATAGTGACATCTAGATTGATGCTTGACCAAACGTGGCCCAGCCGAGTACACACATAAAATTAACCATCACAGCAACCACATGGAGGGCGTATTACTGAACTGGTTACCACGGTAGGTGGCTAGAGCTTAATCCTGCTGGGAAAGCCTGAGAGTCGGCATAGAACATGCCTCAGAATTATCCTTCTCACAGGGCAAGGGCTTCTGCCTTATGGAGGGCTGCTCTGAGGCTTGAGTTCCCCAGCACTCCTGACCCACTCTGCACGTGGGCAGAGCCTCTAGAGAAAGCCCTTAGGAAAAGTGATGCAGGTGCTGGAAGCTGGACGTTGGGCTGGACCAAAGAAATGGTAAAAGATAAGAGGATGTGGGTGGGGGAACAATACCATCCGCTTTATCTTCCTGTGTTCATTTCCACCAGGTTTTCTCTAAGCTCGGCTAGCTCATCTCTGGCGAGATAGCTCAGTCCTGCTGTCCTTTCCATTGTCACTCTTCCGGAGGGAAGCAGCTCTGGTCTCTCAGCCGGGAAGAAGGCTGGTCTAGGCTGACTGGTCAGCAGCTGCCAGCACCACTGTGCTTCAGCCAGCCAGGGCGTCTGGCTTGTCCTCCAGCAACATTCATCTCTAGCTGTGATTTTGCTAAACAGAACTTAATCTTTCTGACTCTTAAGCTTTTGCTCAGGGAAGCTGTGAGGAGTAGAAAGTAAATTGGCCGGAGTTTTGTTCTAGACCAGAGTTTTCAACCTGTGGGTTGTGACCCAGAGGAACTGTATTAAACAGCTGTGACACGAGGAAGGTTGAGAACCACTGTTCTAGATCTTTGGACTTGTATGGATCTGCTATCTGTGCGTTCAAAAAATAAAAAAGTGAATTTCTGGTCAAGTAATGAAAAACATGCATCAAAAACCAGTATGGTAGGATGAGCCAGGCACCAGAGATGAGGAGAGTTTTAGATTTGGCTCTGCGGTAGATGGCTCTCTGGCCTGGAGCAAGTCTTGTTCCCTTTTGAAGCTTCAGTTCTCTCATCTTATAAAATAAAGGTTTAGAACTGTGGTCTGTAGGGCCGCCTCAGAGCTTTCAGTCTCTGGGTTTGTCCCGGTTGCTGCTGCTGTCCCCATTGCTTTCTGTGTCAAAGCACTTTCCCGTATGTGTTCTGTTCTTCTTAAGAACAGATCTCCTGAGATTATCCAGATCTCGGGTTCCGCCGGTGACACCACCTTGCCTTGTAAGTCAGCTGTTTGCTGGAATAAACAAGCGGGGCCAGACTTGCCCTTACTGACCAAGAATCTGCCAGCTTGGCACGGCAAGATCCCTGTGATGGCAGAGGCCCAAGGAAGCCATTAGAGGCATCAAAATATGCCTTGTGGCAGTCGCAGAATGTCTGTTCAGATCACCTTCCTCTCCCCCTGTTCATACCTCCTCTGCTAGCTGGTCCCTTTGATGTTATTAAAAGCCAGAGCCATCTCTGCTGCCTGGCTTTATTTACTCAATGGCCAGCAGGATGGGGCTGCTTTGCCCTGATGCAAAGGCCAGGCTTCCAGGAGTCATCTGGGTCAACTGCTTTAAGGACAGAGGTTCTTGCTGCTGTCTCACTTTAACAATGACACATGGCCTGGAATTCCCAAAACAGCTAAAAAATAAAAAGGGATTGGAGGGGACTGACCTTTCTGGCGTAGAAAAGCAGTGAAAAAGATCTATTGATACTAAAGCCACATTTACCTATTGAAACACATTGCCTTACATTTAATTATAGATTCTGAAATGATGGAGGTGAAAGCTTTTGGATCATCAAGTATGCCTTTGCTATTTGGGCCATCTTTGTTTTCTCTAAGCCCCAGACTGTGTCACCGCAGTTCTGCCATCTGATATGACACATTTGGGTAGGGGAGAGGAGTTATTCTTTGTAGGAGAGGACCTCAGTCCACACCCCACCGTGGTCTTAGTTTCATCAAAAGGCTAGGCACTACAAAACGTTCAGTCACCACGCCCCACTACCTGGGTATAAAGGCAACCCCAGCCTTCATCTGAGGGTCTGTGTGTATAAGCTCTGTGAAAGTGGGAGTTTTTGCCTGGGTTGTACACTGAAGTATCCTCTGTGCCTACAACAGTGCATGGAATATAGTCAGTATTCAGTGACCCATGAAGGCACACAGTCCAATAGATGAGCAGCATAGAGCACAATAGCATTGGTGAGATGAGTTAGAATTACTGGCCGTGATGCCACCCTTATGTTGGGCATATGTCACAGGGCTTTATAGGAGTCAGTATTACACGAAGGCTCCATAATTTCTATATCTTCTAGCAATGTTCTATAGGTTTGCTGGGATATTTGCCTGTCAGAATGCATGCTGGGTACAACTAACTGCTGATGTGCATACTGGTGACTCAGTTGATACTGTGGGTGTGAGGCTTAAACCAGGGAGAGCCATGAAGTGTGACACATGGAGTGTCACTGGGAGGGCATAGGGCATCCTGGTTTTCTCTTAGTTCTGTGAGCATCCTGGCTGCATGCCTCTCACTCGGGGGGCTGAATTGGAGCTGCAGTCCTGCGAGCGGTGGAAGGCTAGGGATCCTATGAAATGTGCACGTGCTCCTGGGAGGGGAGTGGAGGTGTCCTCGTCACAACGTGTCTGTCTTTGCTGATGTTTTGACCTTTCATTTGTTGGCAGGCCTGAATTACGTGCTGACGGCTGATGTGGCCAAAAAGGAGAAGGGCCAGCTGCCCAGAGTCTACTTTGTGTTGCTGGGAGAGACGGCGGGTCAGGTCACAGAGAAGCTGCAGCTGACCCACGCAGAGGAGACGTGTCGTCACTATGCGGCCCACGTGAAGGTCAGCCTTCCTCCTCTTTATCTTCAAACTTTGATCTCTGCAGATGTTCACTTGGAACCAGTGGAAACCACTTTTATTATGCATTATGAATACTCTGAATTCCAAAATTTTAGTTCTCAAAGAGGATAATATCCATTTCTTCTTCTTTTGAAGTTTGCTTCTGACAGCCCTGTCGTTCATCTTACTGTGTGGTCTCAGCCTCTGAGGAGGGTTATGGAGGGGGTGCCGGGAGACCAGTGTTGGTCCCCGACTCCGACTAGCTCTTTTAGGAGGTTTCTCATCTGCTCTCTTCTGTGAGGCTCAGTAACATTCTCAAGGAGAGCACAGAAGCACATGCCTCCGTCTGCAGTGGTGCTGGGTCACACTGCACCTGATGCCTTTCTCAGTGGTCCATAACACATCAGCTTACAGTCATAGTTCAGGGATTTTAAAACTGGTTAGACTAGATTTTTCTCCTGTGATTACTTCTGTTTATTTTAGGAGTGCATATTTTGGCCCCTTTCCCTGCTCACTCTAAATAAACTTTCAAGTATTTTTCTCCTCTTGAAATTATTTGTTAAATACACTTTGCTGCTAATTTAGGAGACCAGGCTCCGATTAGCTACAGAGTGGTCCCTGCACAGGCTGACACTGATCAGCAGGGTAGAAGTTCTGGATGCAGCAAAAATGGCCAGATGCTGACCAAAGGGCAGAGTCAGAGAGCCAGGGAAGTAGAAGAACCCATGTAATCCAGGCCACACGGGGGATGGAATAAATGTGGGTTTCGGAGTCACACAGACCCAGTGTGTACCCAGCTGGATGAGTATTTTGACCTCCCTGTCTTATCTGCATCTCTGAAATGAATAGTATAATGCTTACTTTGAAAGGTGGTTGTGAGAATTAAACATTGTGTGAAGAATTTACTCTAAGACCTTGCATGGTGTCTGATAAATGGAAAGCATTCAATAGTATTGTTATTTGGTTGAGCTGTACATCATTGCCAATATTCTATAATAACATTTTTGGCTTACAAAAATGGCAATTCATATCGTTCCACCTAATATCATTAGCTAGTGGATTTATGACCTCTAGTTAAAATAGTCTATAGATTGGCAGTGAGGCGTCATTCTATTATTACATTATTAGTGCCAGAGCAGAAAGACAGCTGCTTCTAGATGCTTCTGGGCTGTATATAGAGAAATGCCCCACACATGCATGGCACTTGGCCTGGCCCAGAGCCCCTGACTCCTTGCCACTGAGATGCTTTCCAGTAGGGCTGGGCTGTGTCTTCTGCCAGAACTCGTGCTGTGGCCTGCCCAGACCAGCTGCCCTAGGGCTTGGAGTGCTGGGCCATTTATAAAGCTGTCCATGCTCCTGTTAAGCCAACTGACCCTGCCCTCCTCAGTGTTAGATTACTCTGGCTTGTAGGTCCCTTTGGAGAGTGTGAGGCTTCTCAGGACAGGCTCTATGGGAACACCAGGTTGTTGGGTGCCTGGGCTTGGTGTTTTCACACTTGCTGGGCACAGGGCATCTTCTCTTGGGTTTTCTTATACTAGGTCTGTTCCACAGATACATTCCTTTGGGGTTCTATTTAACTTCCTGCTTTGGCTGAGAATTTGCCTTTTGTTGATAGTTACCAGGGTGCCCTGGCTATGAGATAGGGCCACACAATGTGCACAGGCCTTTGCAGAGTACACTCAGGGAGTGGCAATAGTGAGGTACAGGCCAGAGGGAGGGTTGTTTCTATGGTGGCCTCTGAGTGTTACCAGGGAAGAGAAGGGCTGCTACTTCCTAATTCCTAGGGTTACCAGATTCAGCAAGTAAAAATATACATCTTGCAATTAAATCCGAATTTCAGATCAATAGTGAATGATTCTTGTGAGTATGCCCCCAATATTGCATGGGCTGTACCTATACTAAAAATGCTTTGTTATTTATCTGAAATGCAAATTTAACTTGTCATCCTGTTGGCAGATTCAGCTCTATTGATTTCCCTCCACTCCACAAGTGGCACTTCTCCACTCAGACAAAACCTGGTTGACAAGAGAGACTGAGATGATGGTGAGAACAGTTTGGAGGTTGAGACCAGGGCTCCTGATTATAGCCCTTTACATGATTATTTAGGTTGTTTTAGGGAGAGCCAGAGAACAGGTCTGCTTCAGTGATGGGGGACCTGGGGCACTTTGGATATAGTTATTGCGTTCCTACATTCTCATGCAAGGAGATGGAAGCAGAGGGACACACCAGGAAGACACATACCTCTGAGGCTTCTGTGATTCTGGAGGCAATGTTGCTGGTAAGGAATGCTCAAGGTGGCTGGTACTTCACAGACTCGAGGTACATTTGTTTCTACCACTTGCTATCCAGGCCATAGCAGAGGACAGGGCGACTGGCAGAGTGCACCAGTGAGGACAAGCACTCACGAGCAGGCTCGCTACCTGCAGGTGGCACAGCTGGCCCAGGAGGTGGGAGGCATGGTCTGTAGTTTATCAGCCAGGGCTTGTATGGGAGCTGAGCAGGCAGCAAGGATGGGAGAAAGAGAGTGGCAGCTGGGCTGCCTCCCAGAGCAGGGCCTGGGAGCCGTTGGTCAGGGCTGAAGAGCAAGATGCAGTCTTTAGTGCAAGTGGAACTTTCTCAGTGGAGCTGGCTCTCAGCTTTACAGACAAGTCAAAGGAGATAAATAAAAGCGTCTGGCTTATCACACACCATATGGCTAGCAGACAGTGAGGCAGGCATTAGGGGCTGGGTGTGTTTTGTTTAGGCTATCTTTAGGTATTTTTTTTCCTTATTCTTTAAGCCTATTCCAATCTTTTTTTTTCCCTCTCCTTTTCCCTAGAAGTTTTTATTCCATATATGGTGATAACTATCTATCGTGGACAATTGCTTGGGCTAACAACCTGCCTCCCAGGCTAACTATGTGCTTCCATGCTCTGCTTCACTCACTATGCTGGTGGCAGGGTGGGGGTGGGGGGAACGTCTGGGAGGTTAGAGTGTTGTGATGAGCCACTTCCTCCTGCCTCGTTGTGGTCAGCAGAGCAGAGACAGTTGCAACTTGGCCTCTGTGCCTCGGAGTCCAAACCCTAACATCGCTCCTTCGAACAAGTTCAGCTTTAGGGATGAGCCTGCTAGTCAAGTGGCCTAACAACCTCTAGAGGACCCCGCGGCCACAGGTAGAAGCCCAGACACTGTCCCTCACCTTCAAGGTTCCCTACAACTTGGCCTCAGTTTACCCTTCTGCCACACCACATATGCCCTGACTCTTGCCATGAAATGTCCCCTTTTCTCTTGAACCTGTGCCTTTACCTTGGTTCTCATGCTCACAAAAGCCGGAGGCTTGTCATAGGCACGTAGAACCATGTACACGTACCACCTGCATGATTTTTTGCATTTTTTATTTTTTGGTATAAAATAGGCACCTTCTACAGTATTTTATTTCAAACTTTCTCCTTAAATTAGCTAACTGTTAGCCTCAAATAAAATAATTTAAAACAGAAACTTTGTACCCTTCTCTAAGCAGAAAACCAATTATCACATGCTTAAAACAGAAAGTAATTATAAAAATAAATACAGTGAAGACACAACAGTGTCATAGAATTCTGGCTGAATTTCATTGTTTGCCAAGTCTCTGAAGAAGGGCTCACGCTCCCTGTGTGTTAGAAAGGGAAGTGATCACCTGCTAGGGAAGCTTAAAGTCATACTGGTACCAGCCTGGAATTTTCCCCCAATGTAATCCAAAGGACTAAAGGGGAATTATCAGTCAGGGAATAACTTTTCAAATGTGAGGGTCCTGTTACAGAATTGTGCCTATGTACTGTTGAAAACCACCTCATGTGGCCCATCTGAGAAGCCCTGGCCACACCATCCTTTGAAGGGATGTGCCTCGTGCTGTCTTGCTTGCTTAAGGTTTGTCTGTTCAAGGCACAGTTGCTCCACAGGTCTTAAACATCCTTAGGGCCAGCTACTGTTCTAGGCCCTGAAGATGCCACTGTCATCTTCCTGTCTTCTTGAAGATTCTTTCATACTGCCCAACTCTTGTTTAGAGGATGACAGACCTAGAATAAATGCCTGTCAAACAAAATCTTAATTGATTTTGATCAGTGGAACTTCTCATATGGGGTGGGGCCTGCTCACCTCTCTGTGGACTGACTGCTGGGAATTGATGCCCTGAGATGGTGGGGGGAGAGTTTGGATGCATGGCCAATGCTGAAGAATAATTAGGAGTGTTCTGTTGTTACACCATTGTTTTCTAGTGTATATGTCTTTATCTAATGGTAACTGTGCTCCACCCTCAGGGCCTGCACTGTGCTTTGAGAAAGCAAGCCTTTTGTGAGATCCACTGCTTGTGAATGACAGGAAAATAAGCAGCCTCTCAGGAGCCAGGAAACCAGGGGACAGTTCTGAGTGTCATGTAGGTTCAGTGGAGAAGGCCAGGGAGAGCCCAAGTGAGGCGGGATGCCTGCACCATGAGCATCAGAGACATCTGCCAGAGGCCTTCAGGAAACTTTTGTTGAGCAGAACCTTGTGTCAGACACCATCAAGAGAGCCAGTAACAAGGATTAATGTTAATAAAACCACCCCAAACTAGACAAGGAAATACACAAGTGCGTGGGCTTTTCTGAGAAGCTGCAAATGTTCATGAGATTGTTCCCTTATGTTTCTGGACTATCGGGGGAGTTTGAGTCTTTGAATCCTAAGTTCCTGCAGCTCTTCTGTTGCTTGTAGGAGCAGATGTGGGCGCCTGGAGGAGGGCAGGACATCACCTGGCCTCCAGGTCTTCTCAGAGGTCACACCCAGGGCTCTGGCCAGGTGTTTTGCTTTGTTTTCATTTGCATATCTGGCAAAATACCTTAGGACTGTAGGTTTAATCACATGATATGTTGTGAGTATGCTGGGTGTGGGGATTCATTGGATGCTAGTTTTTAAGATGTGCTTGAGACTATTTTTTCCTGGTTTAAGTTTAAGAAACAGTTGGTTAAGGAAGGGAGATTAAGTTGGTATTAATAAACTGTGTGAGAAAGAGG